TCAACCCTGAGTGCTCACTGGAAGGACGGATCCTGAAGCTGAGGCTCCAATACTTTGCCCATCTCATGAGAAGAGAGGACTCCCCGGAAAAGACCTTAATGTTGGGAAAGGGTGAAGGCAGGAGGAGAAGGGGACGACAGAGGATGAGATGGCTGGACAGGGTCATTGAAACGACCAGCATGAATCTGACCCAACCCCGGAAGGCAGTGGAAGACGAAGAGTCAGACACAACTAAACTACAACAAAATTTTTTGAATCATCCTCCTAGGTTCTTATCAACACCATTGTCATACATGATTGCTTTGACCAAATTTTTAGCACTACATACTTGCGTTTTCCATTTTTGTGTTTTCCATTTCTCAGAGTGACTTTTTCGTATACATCAATCTTTCTCTTCATATTGCCTGTTAATGTTGGAAGATGCCTCCTCATTCATTGCTTGTAGTCTTAAATATTGTCTTTACTCGATTGTTTTCAAATTTAAACATCGTCTTTCATTGTTTGTAGCTGCCCTGGGTCCTTTTTCAAGGAGAAAGGTGGGATAAAAACATGTCACTGGTCCTCGTTCTGCTTTCTGGGGATGCTGCATTTATATATTCTAGAAATCTGGAGGAAGCAGGATGTTGAAAAATGACAGTGCTCCCAGCTAACCTATATATAATTTAGGTGAGCTGGGAGCACTGTCAATTTTCAACATCCTGCTTCCCCCAGATTTCTAGAAGTCAAGGGACTGAGGCAAAGATACTCTGCAGTGTGTGACCTTTTGTACCACCTGCCAAAGCTGGTAAGAGATCATTGCTGACGGGAAGCCATATTCTGCTCTAGGACAAACTACAGAACCACCTTCAATCCAAAAACCACCCCTTTGATGTAACTGGTTTGTTGAACAGCTGTCGCTGACGAAATGAATACATACATCATGCCCGTAGTGAGCTACATAGAACTGCAACTAAGGGGGGGCAAACTCAAGTTTTAGCCGTGGCCACAACTGCCTTTGCCCAGTTAAAGCTGGTGTGCCAGTTGTGTGTCCACTCCTTGAGGTGTCTGATCCGGCCACGGTGACACACACTTTAGTTGCCTCTCATCTGGGTTCCTGCCATGCGCTGTACGAGGAGCTGACTTTGAAGAGTGTTTGGAAACTTTAGCTGGCTCGAAATGCTGCAGATAAAACTGCTAGCTTCACCGGCTGCCAGCCCGTTTCTGGGCTGAGTTCAAAATGCCGGTTATTACCTATACAGTGGACCCTCGACTTACAGACGGCTCGACTTACAGACTTTTCGAGTTACAGACTTCTCTGGCTGCAAAATTTAGGTTCGACTTGCAGCCAGAGAATCGACCTACAGACCAGAAAAAAACCAAAATGGGACAAAAATAGAATAAAAACGGCTGGCTATGGGATTAATCGGTTTTCAATGCTGCTGAAGACCAAGCATCAGGCACATAAAATCGATCTGCTCTCTCCTGGAGGCAGAAGCAGGTCATCCTGTGGCACGCAGATACTTGCATTAGTTATGATTTTTCCCCTCCCCAGTCACAAGCTACGGATTAATTCTTTAAGTAGAGGGTCCACCGTAGAGCCTTATGCCACTTGGTTCCGGACTATATGAAGGATCGTGTCCCTCTCATAGGAGCTCGACACTCACATATAAAGCCCTTCATGGTTTCAGGCCACATTACCTGTTGGAGCGTCTTTTGCCCATGTCCTTTGGTTTTCAGCGTTGTGAGCTGCCCGGGGTCCCCTACAGGGAGGAAGGCCATGTAGAAATAAACAGCCGATGAAGATGTGACAAGGCGGCAAACCTTACAAATTAACACCTCGAACCACGAACCTGTAGTTTTATTTCTCATTAACCTGTTGGGAGCTGGCAGGAGAGAGCTCAACCCACCCTCCCTGGCAGCCTAATTTTGGTAGCCATCTCTGTCAACATGTGGGTTGAATGATTGAAACCCTGCTAGTCCTCGGTTCCCCCACCAAACACACCTCCCTTTCCTTTCCCTTCTTCTGCCCTCTCCCCTATGTCCAACGTTAAAGAGCATCGGCCTCTTGGACTTCGTAAATTACTGTATATGCAGAACTTGAAAATAGCGTTAGATTGTCCATTTCCATGCCTGATTCAAGGTCTTGGTTCTAATACACAAAGCCCTGAAAAGGTTTGGGACCTCACTCCTTGTCCGGGCATCTTCTACCAAGGTCTGTTGCCCTCACAGACCTCATGATGGCAGGCGCTGACTCAAGGAGTCTGGAAAACGGGAACTAGCAGACACCGGGCTTCCTCAGCGGTGGCACCTTCCTTACGGAAGGCTCTCCCGCACGAATTATGGCAGGTGCCCCACCTTGGCGCCTTTCCAAAGCTCCTGAAAACAGAGCTTTTAAGGGAAGCTTTGGGAGAGGAACAAGACAGAGAATGAAGGAGGAACAAGCATGGGGACCTGACCCATAGGACTTGGTGTCAAGTTGGACTAAAGTCGCACTCGTGACTTGACTCGATTTATGATGATGATGATGATGCTTTCCCTTATGACTCAGATTTTATGTGTGACTCAGAACCCACCAACCCCTCCCTTTATCTTTGGGGTGGGGACGTTGACTCGATTTATGATGATGATGATGATGATGCTTTCCCCAATGACTCAGATTCCACGTGTGACTCAGAACCCACCCACCCCTTCCTTTATCTTTGGGGTGGGGACCCTTAATTTTAATTGAGACTTGGAACCAAAGACTCTGACTCAGACTTAAACCCAAAAACTTGCCAACATGCCTGGAGAGGAATAACGTATGATGTGAAACTTATTTTGCTGCCTGCCTTGTCTTGCTTATTTGTAAGAAAAGTTTAGTGCTTTTATAGTGGGTTTCATAATTTGTGTTTCCTTCACACATTTTGGTCATGCACCACCCAGAGTAGCAATTTTACTAGATGGGAGGTTGGTCAATCAATCAATCAATGTTTCTCAATGCCAGCTGTGGAATTCTGGAAGCTATTGTCCAAAAAGGCAATTCTGCAGGCTCTGATTGCAAAATCCGCCAGTACCATAAATAACGATGAACCGGTCAATCTCTGGCTTTACACCCATCCCGGGGACCCACAGGCCTGTCGTCCTCAAAAGCCTCCGGGAACATGAAGATGTTCATGCTGTGGAAGGCTGCTGCAGCTCAGCCGTCTTGAGAATCATCTCCGGGACGAGGCAGGTGCCCACATCATCCCCCGTGTGGTGAAAAACAGGATTGCTTTGGAGAGAAACACAATAAACATCTCTACAAATAAATAAAATTTTAATAGACAGAGCAGGAAAACAAGAGTATGGGTTGAAGATCTCCACTCTGTCCAACACGGCTTTGCATCTTTAGAGAAAGGCAAAGGTTTAAAGAGATACCTTGACCTAACATAATGAACCAAGGCAGAGAAATGCAGCTTGAAGGGGATAAGTGCTGCTGATGTAGTAAAGAACAACAGAAACAGACCCAGGTTTTGAGGCGAAGCTGAAAACAGTCAGTTTACATTCCCTGGCGGAAACAATTTCCAACCCAAAGAAATAAGCACAATATCTTAGAACAGAAACAACATTGAAACACAGAAACGTAATTTATAAATTCCAAACAAATCCTGGAAATGCCAAAATAGTAGCATTTCACAGTTCAGAGTGCAAATTCCAATTTCTGAAGTATTCCACGCCCATCACATGTGCAATCCGTGCTGTGGGAATATTGCAAATTCAAATATGCAATTCTCAGTGAGAGGGAATTCTAATAAACTCAAAGGTGTTCCCTGATTCATTCTTTGGAATCTGGGGAACAAAATTAAGCTGTTTACATTTGGGCCATATTTCTTAACTCTCCTGTTCAACATTTTCCTTTATGTTTTGTAGCAAGTGTGTTTCCAAAGACAAAGCAATGTCAAGGGGCTTAAGCGGGCACCTCCTGCTTTCATTATGAGCATTGACCTCCAAAATGCAGACCGATACAGAAAAAATAATAATAATCATATTTTAACAAAGTCTTTTTCCAAGCAACAGCAAACAGAAACAAGCGAATGCACTCAAAAACCCATGCTCCTTGAAATCTGAAGGTGACGGTGGGAATTCTTTAGACACGAGAGCACTTTTAACCAACTATGCACTTATTTTCAAATGTCCTTCTATTTAAGGAAATGGAACTGAATTAGTATCTGTGCTTACTGTCATAACATTCACCAGTGGTGAAAATCGTCATAGGGAAGCAGAATTAACTTTACATCCCCCAACTGTCCTTTACAGGAATACTAGCAAACCAGGAGTGATAATGGCCAAGGATACAGGGCATCATCCACAGTGCTTCTTCTGCCCCCCTGCCCCCGATCTTCCCTTTACCCATGAATATAAGCTAAACATACTGTCCACCAAACTTCTGTGCCATGCCTTGGAATTTTTGCAGATTGACAGCGTAAACTTTTGCAATCCAGACCCCCTTCCTCTATCCTTCCCCTCATTTTGTGCCTAATGTTTGGCTACAGATACTGCTGCACAGCTCAGCATCTTCCGAAACCAAACCAGTGCATGCCAATCGGAAATCAACAACATGCTACAGTCTATACACAGTGCAAACCAAGTATAATGTTCATTCAAGTGACCGCCATTGACTTGTATTGCCTAAGATTCCCACTCTACAGCATGTAACGCTGATGCTTTCTTCACTTTTTAATAAAACAGAACCTCTCCTTCCCTCTGTTGTAAAGGGCTGTCATTTCCTTCCTCAAATAAGGGCCCATATATCTATTCACACAAAGTTTGTGCAACTTGTTGTGGCGCACGGACAACGGGCCATGGCACATCTTGATTGCGTGCCTGCTTGCATCACCGGGGTGCACACATCAGACCCTTATCAATGAGCTACAATTAGTTTCATAAGCCAACAGGGTTCCGGCTCATCTGCTTGCTTTTTTGAGAGAGAAAAAAATTAAATTCTGAAAGATTCATCTCAACTACTTTACACAACTACCATCATGGCTCTTTGGTTCCAAATTCAACTGTGCATTCCTGCATGTGCCTCAATGGACCCCAAACAGTCTCAGGATGCATGCCTAATTTTTTTAATGCGCACGTTTGGGAGAGAAGGGTGGAAAGGAAGAACATCTCTGATGCAGAGAATATAAGGCTTAGGTTAGGAAAACCATCTTTGGGTGGCTCTTCCTGAAGAGTTTGAAAGCCACCCTTCTCTCCCTCTCTCTCTCATGTGCAACTCTCTGAACTATTTCTGGTCAAACCGATTGTTTCTACACGAATTTTTAAAAAAGGAGCAATGAATCCTCTAAAGAGCTAGAGAGAAAGGTAGCCTGTAATTTCACTAGAGGACTACTCCAAGCAATTCCAGAAATGCTGGTAAAGCATGATAGGATAATCTGTCGGATTGATGCTTCCCAAAAGGCTACAGGGATGTTTTTTCCAGCATCTCATAAATTGGGCAGGGCAACGGAAAGGAACAAGCCTGAATGACCCAAATTGTTAGTGGCAAAGTTAAGAAGAAGCTGAAAAGGTCACATCTTCCGGGAGAGAATTCCCAGAATCCCCCAACCGTGACCATACCGGCTGGGGAATTGCGGGTGTTGTGTTCTGCACAAATAACATCTCCAAGCTCTCTGCACACACTACAGGCTTAAACTGGGTCTCTCAAAAAAAGCCAGGGATCGTAGCTCGCTGGCATATTTGAGCTGATCTGGCATGGTCTACGTTACAGAATCACAGCTTCCCAATAGAGGAAAATGGTGACAACCAAAGGCGGCTTAAGTCTGTCCTGGAGTTACACCTAGGAAAGGCCACGTGGCCAGTTCCCGCCTTCCGATGCCCCCCTGAGGGCGGGTCTTTCCTTTCCTACAAAAGAGGAAACATTGGGCACCGCCTTATTTTAGAAGTGTATTCTGCACACACAAAAGTGACCCCTAATAAATGCATAAAAAGGTCAACGGTCTTCCAAAACGAGCCGAAGACGCTCTCGAGGCAGTTAGAATTCAAAATCCTCGTCCGTCATCGCGATTGCCCATGCAAACTTCTCCCTCTGGGTCTTGTTGTAAATCTTCTCGATGGGCACACAAAACCTTTTGCACCTGCGAGGAGAGGGGGGTGTAAAAGAGAAGAAAGAAGCACATCAGAGAGAGACCTGGCGCTTTGGTCCGTTAAGTCTTGCCACCCACAAAAGCGCAAAACCCATGGCTTTGGATCCCGGATGGGAGTGTCGTTGCTCACCAGGCCACACTGATGCGGGGATCCAGGTAATTCAGCTTGGAGGTGCCCAGGGCAATCTGCTTGTTTTCTTCCTTGTCGGTCGCTTGCATTTGCAGCTTGGCCAGCTGCTCCTCCATCTTCTCGACCATCTTCTTTTTCTTTTCCACAGCGCTGCTTCGAGAGAAAGGGGTCATGCATATGAAAAGGCAACCCACCCAGCAAGAACAAGGTGAACCGCTAGACTTGGGAGCACGCGATCTGCTAAAACAGATGGAAGAAACCTCCCCCCTTACCCAGGAGTTGTAGAAGGGGTAGCCGGGTTATTCTGTGCAAGCGTTCGAGGTGAAGGAAGGGGTAGCCAGGTTAGTCTGTGCAAGCGTTCAAGGTGAAAACCAAAATAAAAAGTAAAAAGAAAACAGCAGTAATAACCACCACCACCACCCAAAATAATACGGTGGCACCTTAAAGACTATTTTTTATTTTTGTAACTGTGAGCTTTCGTGGACGAGTCCATGAAATGTTTGATGTTTAATGGACTTGTCAATTAAAAATATAGAAATTAGCATTTAAGGTGCCACCTCTTTATTGTCTTTTTAAAAACTTTTTACTTAGGATAGGAAAAAAAAAGAGAGATTTTCTCCGCGAACTCAGGGGCTACGTGGACGAGTCCATGAAATGTTTGATGTTTAATGGACTTGTCAATTAAAAATATAGAAATTAGCATTTAAGGTGCCACCTCTTTATTGTCTTTTTAAAAACTTTTTACTTAGGATAGGAAAAAAAAAGAGAGAGATTTTCTCCCTGAACTCAGGGGCTAGGATGTTACTGGTGATCCACCCCTTGTGATGGTGAATTCACACTAATTCCTGAGATGCTAGTCATGTTCCTGGTTATGTGCTTGTCGCCTAGCCAGGCATGCCACCAGGAAAAGCGGATAGCACTTTGCTAATTAGTGGCATTTAGCAACTGCAATTTCACTTCTATTCCTTATAACCAGAATGAGCAGAATTTTTTAAAAGCAGAATCCACTCCTACAAAGGACAGCAAAATCACCAGGAGCTTAAATGGGATCTAGAGGGGGATTCGAGAAATTCACCGGGGTCCATCCGTAGTTCCTCCTTCTCCTCAAGGCAATTAAAAACCCTCCAATTTAGAGGCGGGAGCTCTTGGGGAAGAGCTGGGAGAAAGAACGCGCCATCACTGGGATCAAGAAGGTTGGTTACTCCAAGAAGTGGGATCTTTGGTCTGATCCAGAAATGTCCTATTTGATGCAGATATCAGGAAGTTTCTAAAATAATGATGCTTGAAGCACCCAAATAAGGAAAAGTGACCCAGAGGTATTTTACATGCAAGTGCTGTGAAAAATAGCCAGGGGCTAATGAAGAGCATTTAAAGAGGACTCCGCCTCACTCACGCTTTGGATTTCACATCCTTTTTGCAATGGCGATCCGCCTTGGCCTTCTTGAGTTGTGCCTTCGCTTCTTTCACCTGCTTCTTTTTGGCGTCGATCTGGAAGGGCAAGAATCCGGATCAGGTCGTGGTGTTTCCAGACTGAACCACCCAGGATCCAGCTGCTTGTCGAAATGCTATGCAGGATTTTCTCCATCGTCCTTCCCGACCGATTGAAAGGAGGTTCATCTCGACAGCTTCTCCCTATTGCCTCTTTCATTAGCCCTTGAGCAGGGCTAGCCGGTGCCGAGCGTTGTCCGGAAAAGACATGTGGCCACCACCACTTAGGCAGGATTCCCCAGTTCAAGCTGAGCCAAAGAGGCATTGGCAGAAGGGAAAAGCTTCTCCCTCATCTTCCCTTCAGCTTCGCTAGCTACTGCAAAGATACAGCCGGCCTCTGAGGCTGGGCCGCTCCAGCGCCCCTCTGTTGGCCTACCTTACTCTGGAGAGTTTGCATAGACTTCTCAAAGGTCTTTGGAGTCGCCCGCTGGTGGTTGCACAAGATGGCCACGGCCCGGTTGGCCCGGTTGTAGGAGAGCAGCTTTGCCGCCACGTTGTCTTCCTCTGTCGAAAGAAAACATCCAAGAGAAGAAAGTCAACGGTGGGAGAAGAAAAGTGAAATCGGCCCCCAATGGATTCAAAAGGACACTGTGGCCGGAGAGGGGAAAAAAACGAGTTCATGAGCTACACGCTGCCTGTTGTTGTTTCTCTGATTTGAGTCGTCTGATGCTTCGGCGCCTTGACTCGGCAGAAAATCTTAAAGACGCCAGGGCTGTTTCTCTCTGACCCCAACACTAGGTTTTCCCCTTGGCTCGCCAAAGAGACCCCTCCCATGGGCTGGCGCTGAAATCATTCAAATGAAGTGTGGCCGGGGGTTTGCAAGACCTTCTTATTAAAAAAAGAGAAAAATTACAATTCACACTTAGGAATGCTGGCCTTTTGCTTTTAGTCGTTCAGACTTACAAACACGATTACAAGACTGGTAGGTTGTGGCTTTCTATCTTTGACAAACCTGCTTCCATGGTGGCCTTTTTTGCTTGACATATGATAGGAATGCGCTTCTGAAATAAAATGAGAGGCTAGAGGGAAATAAGCGTGTGTATAGCTATACTACAGTGTGTGTTTGTGTGTACACAGAACACATACATACCTACCTCCCTGCATATCTACATGGACATGGAGAGAGAGAGAGAGAAATCTCCATATCCATATCTTTCCTTCTTTCCATCTATCTTTGTATTTATATGTATTTGTGCTGCACTCAGTGCTGACAGGGTCTGGCTAAAATAAACAGAAGTGTAAATATTCCCCTGGTGAATGCTGGGAATGAAACACAATCTCCAAACACAAACCTGCACCCCTCCAGCATGAAGCATCATCAGCCTCATCAAACTGCACAGCTGGAAGGGACCCTATGGATCATCCAGTCCAGCTCCTATGAAGGAGGCGCAACGAGGAATCAAACTCCCAACCTCTGGTTCCACAGTCGGAGACCTCAACCCCTGTTCACTCCCTTCCTTCCCTCCCCCCAGCCCGATTAATAAATAAGAATTCTTTGAATTCCAAAAAGGCAGAAAGGGGGGGAAAGAGATGAACCCAGATTGCCGGACTGTCCTTTGTTTTCAGAGACGAGCCATCCATTCCAAACGGCTAGCTGCGCAGGGCCAAGAAGGGGCTTGAAACCAGCCCCCTTCTCTCCCCCCCCAATAACCCACTTGCAAACTGCAACCGTTTCCAACTAAGAAGCTAGCTTGGCTTCACCATCAGCCATGTGACTTCCGGACTTTAACAACGTCCTTTAATGTCGGAACTACCCACAAGAACTCAGTGCGCAGCCGTGGAGAAAATGATTTTCTTATGACCGAATAAAGGTACCCCCTGTTCCTGCATGTGCATGGTTTCCACCACCCTGCGGCCTTTTCTGATTTTTCCCTCCCTACAGCGGCTTCACAGATGACTGATTTATCATAGAATCGTGAAGTTGGAAGGGGCCGATCAAGCCAACGGGTCCAACCCCCTGCTCAAGGCAGGAAGACAACAACATTTTTAATTCCAGCTGCTCTCAAAAGAGCGGGTTACACCCGACAAAGCCCGTCAGGACTTGAATCTGGACTGTCCAAAGCGCCATCTTCTCTCATACCAGCCTGCCTGGACTTCGAAACTTGCCAGACCAATCCTTCTCTCTGTCTTGCCGTCTTCAGCGGCTCGGTTACTTGAGGACATAAGATGGGGCTTTTCGGATGCCCCCTTCCAGGCTGAGGAATTCCCTGCCGAGGGAGGCGAGGCTGGCCACCTCCCCGATACCCCTCCCACCATCAGGCAAAGACCTTCCATCCCCTTTAGGGAGACATTTAGGAACTAGTATTTCTGACCACCAGAGTGGGAGGTATTAAAGGCTTTCCAGTTTTCGATAATAATTTTTAAATGAAGATGCTTTCATGGTTTTTAACTGTGTTCTGTTTGTGTCAAGAATGGTGTTATTACGTTTGCTGTTTATAACCCGTTTGTTTTTTAATCAACATCAGTTTTTTAAGTGATACTCTAAGCCAGTGGTTCTTAACCTTTGTTACTCAGATGTTTTTGAACTGCAACTCCCAGAAATCCCAGTCAGCACAGCTGGTGGTGAAGGCTTCTGGGAGTTGCAGTCCAAAACTCCTGAGTAACCCAAGGTTAAGAACCAGTGCTCTAAGCCACCCTGGTTCCCAGGTAGGACAGAAGAAACCCATTAAATGAGCAGCCACTCTCAAAAACTGGAAAAAGTGTTCTGGAATAAGGATTTAAGGAGACCCGAAACAGGGACCGCTCGAATCCGAGCTTCAAAAGAGTTTGGCCCCACATATGCAAATCTGAGCCAGCCGAACAGCCGGGGCGTTTATCCAAAGCCACTTACCATTGGTCAGCGCTTCCAGCTGCTCCTGGAGCGTGATGGAGGCGTTGTATGTTCTGAACACCTTGGCCGTCAAACCGTCCATCAGATCCTGGAGATGTTTATTCAGCGACGCGGTCTGTGAAAATGTGTCAGCCACTGAAATTTAGAACTTAGAATTTAGAAAACTGGGGAAGAGCCATTTCAGGTAAGAGCTGGGAGGTGTCTCGGGATTTCAGGAGGCTAAGGTTGGGAACCTGAATTTGGAGCAAACGTCCCTCAAACCAATCCCCCCTTCCTCCATCGATAGAACCATTCTACCAGTCCCTCATGTTACCAGTAAATCTTCTGCTTTCAGAAATTGACATCTAGAAAAAGCCAGCTAACCATCTTGTGATGGGCAGTAAAAAAAAACAACAGAGGCCATTTATTAGATTTGTGTCTGACTTTTATTCTGTGATGGAAAGTGCAGCTCATTGCTTGTGGCATTCACAGAAATCATAGAAAAGTGAAGTTGGAAGGGGCCTATAAGGCCATTGACTCAAACCCTCTGTTCAGTGCAGGAATACAAGCTGAAGCAGATCTGCCAGGTGATTATACAAGTTTTTCTTGAATACCTCCAGTGTTGGAGCACTCACCACCTCACAAGGTCATCAGTTCCATTGTTAATAGTTAGGAAGTTTTTCCTGATACAGTGGTGCCTCGCTAGACAGTAACCCCGCATGACAGTTTTTTCGCTAGACATTGGCTTTTTGCGAGCGCTATAGCGATTTGCAAAACAGTGATTCCTATGGGGGAATTTCACTGGACAATGTTTGGTCCCTGCTTCGCAAAGCGATTTTCGCTAGACGACGATTTTGACATCTTCCTCGGCGCTCGCAAACAGATGTTTTCGGTACCTAAGCTTCGCAAGACAGCAATTAAAACAGCTGATCGGCGGTTCGCAAAGTGGCTTTCCGATTGCCGATCTTCACCAGACAACAACGATTCTTCCCCATTGGAACGCATTAAACAGGTTTCAATGCATTCCAATGGGGAAATACTTTTTGCTAGACAATGATTTCGCTAAACAGCGATTTCAGTGGAACGGATTATCATCGCCTAGCGAGGCACCATTGTACTCAAGTTATATCTGGCTTCCTTGAGCCCATGGTTGCGTGTCCTGCACTCTGGGATGATCGAGAACAGATCCTGCCCCTCCTCTGTAGGACAGCCTTTCAAATACTCCTTAGACACCTCTTCCTCAATCTCCTCAGCAGCACTGGGTTTTGGCTCAGGACCAAGCAGAATGGCCACATTAAGGTGCCTTGATACCACACCCAGGTCAAGGTGGTGGAGAAAGGCTGGCTCTTCTTCCCCAATTTTCCTCTGCTCTGATCAAAGGGGGGGCACAACTACTATGCCCCAATTTTCCTCTGCTCTGATCAAAGGGAGGGGGGCACAACTACTATCTCCCTTTACCAAGCAGCCAGAGAAGTGCAGATCTCCTTCCCCAGAGGATGCTCTACACAAAACACAGTATGCAGGGGACAGGAAAAAAAACAGGAACATCAGTCGATCGCAAGGATTCAAAGTCCCAACCTGAATAAACCCACACTTACAGACAGCCTATCAAAGACATTGTCTCCGGGCTCCTTGTTTTCCATGAATAGCTGCAGATTCTTGAAGACCTACAACCACAGAGGAACACATTCTTTGCTAAATGATAAACCATCTCAACTGTGCATGGGAAAGATTCGTCAGAAATATTGTTGCAGAGAAGCGTGCAGGCCAAGGTCTCCTTAGCCCTAATTTTTCCTCAAAGCTAAGTGACAGCAAAGATTCTAATTTTTCCTTCCAGTGAAGCTATTGGCTATTTTGATTCCCTTTTTAAAAAACTCCTTGTTTAACTCTCCCCTTGCAAGACCAGATACCTGCACAGGGCATATTTCAAGGGTGGGTGTACCATAGATTTACTTCCTTTAAAAATTCAGTAGAATTTAAAAAGAAATAGTTTGTGAAAACTTTGTGTGTTAAAGCAGTTGAGGGAGGAAGTGAGACAACCAGGTGGAGGAACGATGAAGCTACAGATAACAGCAGGGCATGAAAAAGGAAAATGATTTGCTGCTTGATGGGAAAAGACACGCTAATGTTTCCTCTGCTTCAAGCTCTAGGTAGCGGTGAGTGTAATTCGGCTGCTGTTCGAAGGTTTTTCTGAATGCCCTGTCTCTTGGAAGGAAGCGCAGACGGAGCCCAGGACTCCAAACCATAAGACTTGCCTGTGAGGCCTAAGATCCAGAATCCTATTGATCCAGAAAGCGGCCTCTGTTGCTTCCTGGACTGGGCTAGCTTTCTTAGAATGGCAAAGCTGGAAGGGACCTCCTGCATCACAGAGTCCATAGCCCCCGATGAGGAGGCACCTCTCGGGAATCGAACTCCCAACCTCTGGCTCTGGAGCCAGAGACCTAAACCCCTGGAAAACTCTCCAGCAGTTTCCAAGTCTCTCTCTCTCTTACCTGTTTCTCCACGGGCACTTTGTTATAGTAACGGATGCAGTCCTTGCCCAGGAAGTCAAACTCCACCACGTTCTCCTTCCCGTTCAGCCGAGGGTGCAGCGTGACGTGCTCAACGCGCAGGGAGCAACACCCCACCGTGTCGGCGGTCTCGCCTTCCTCCTTCTCATTCCCCGCTCTCAGGGCCAGCTGTGAAAGGGGCGCAAAGGAGCCGCCGTCACGCACGCGCTCCATCAAAATGCGACAATGCTCCTTTTTTAAAAGAGCCGCACCAGGATTCAGCTTTAATCCCACGTCTAAAAGGTGCGTAAAGGAGGGATAAATGCAGAGCCTTGGGGCACAGCAGTCGAACTGAAGAACTGCAGTGAAGACTCTGCTCAGGAGCTGCGCACGGGTATCAAGACTTAAGGCTGACTCAATCTTCTAACCTTATGGGGCCGTTAAATTGAGCGCCATCACCAGCATCGTTACCGCGAGTAGCGATACTGCCATTGACGGTAATGCCAGTGATGTGTGATGTGCACTGCAGGGTAAGTGGTCCGGTGGCGTCTTGGGGGGGGAGGCAATCAGGGCAGCCACCTGTGCCAGGGGGGCTTAGTATTCATCTAGGAAGACAAAGCCCCCATCTCTAATGACCATCCAAGGATCCCTCGTTAAGCAATATTCAGCTGGAAGGGACTTGGAACACGGTCTTCTTGGTGATGGCAACATCCCCGTAGAACACTCTTCCTAATTCCCCACCCCCACCCTCAAAGGCCTGCTTTCTAGGCACCCTACAGTTGTTAAGGCTAACAACACGTTTTTTTTTAAATGAAAATAAATGTGTTTCCATTTTTAAAAAATTATAACCATTCTGTCCCGTTATCCTGCTGAGCTTCCCATGAGTGGCAAACCCTACTATTGTGGGACCGCACAACAGGTTCAAGCGTTGCTGCTGTATACATGGAAGGCAGATTTTCTTCCTTGTTTATTTATTTATTTATATCCCGCCTATCTGAATCACATAGGACCACTCTAGGTACCGCACTGGGGCCAGCAGCAGAAACCTGAGCTACTGCTCTGGTGGGGAATTTCCACTGAATGGAAAGCTCAACAGAAGGGCCTCCATTCTTAATTTCCAAAAAGGGTTTTCGAGATACCCATAACTTGCACATGTAGCCCTCTAAACGATGTTCTGGAACCGGGGCCTAATTAACTTGAAGGGAAATAAGCCCCCTGCAGATCTCTGCATGGACAGCTTGTTATCCTGCACCACCCAAGGAGCTGAATGTGACATTTCAAATCTCTTTCTGAAGCTCTGGAGCCTTTTCACTGGAGCTTATCCTGTGCGCCCATCATCACCCCAAAAAGCCACTTGGCAGAGCCGTCCCTGCTCAGAGCCTACCGGCTTGTCATCACAGGGATGAGAGGCTCGTTTCCAGGGGCCGGTGGCCTGGACCGTTTTTTAAAGAGCGGTGATGGGCCCCCAGAAAGCACCCACCCCAACCCTTACTCTGTCAATGAAGTAGAGGGCCACGGATCTCTGCCGCTTCTTCATTTCCTTGGACTTCCAGTCTGCTCGATACTGAGCGCGGATCTTCTCCACAACGCCTTTCAGCCGCCGAGCCACTTCGTATTTCTGCCAGTCCTTTTCCCCCTGGGAAAAAAAAGAGCCACGAACACCATTTCTCTCTTGTTACCCCGGCTGCTTCTACCCCGGATCATCATCCCACCCAAAGGGAGAGAAGTCTAGAGTCTTCATGGCTCTCCTGATGGAAAAGATCAGGATCCAACCACAGGGGCTCATGAACTCTTGCAGACAAGAAGACGACTTAAAACCCACCAAAAAAAGAGAGAGAGAGAAAACGCAAAAGCAAAATAAAAGGAAAAGAATGCAGGCACCTTAAAGATTGACAGATTTATTTCAGTGTGAGCTTCTGTGGTTTATGTGATCCCCAGGCCACCACCGTAAAATCTTTGTCTATAAACCCGTGGCCAAAGGATCACAATCTGTGCCACTGAGGAAGTGGACAGTCACCCACAAATGTTCACACGGAAATAAATCTGTCCATCTGTCATTTTTATTTCTGCTATACATAACAGAAGCAGACGAGCAGAGCTACATTACTGGCAACTGCCCAAGAGCAGACACTCGTGGCATCCTTTAAAACGTGGGCGCATCAATGGCAGTTCCAGCTCGGGAGAGAAAAGGAAACGTCATTCGACCCAAAGAGATGGGAAATGTGGCTGTTTTGTGGGAGACAAGAAATGTAAAGGTCTTCTGGAGGGGGGAGGAATCAAGGAATGGAAAATGTGAAAAGCAAAGCAAACCAGGAGGACGAGCATCACTTTGAAAGTGGCCAGAGAGAAGGGTCCTCTTTTTACCTGAGTGCCTGGACAAGTTTCCAGTTCACTACGGTATCAAAATATTTCTTCCAGAAGCAAGGAAAGAGATTTCTTGTTTCTGTACTATTGGTAACCTCAAATGGAGTTACTTGGGCTCATCAGCTCAAATAAACAGCAGTTTTTTCTAGCCGTGTTACTCTGTAAAGGGGCTGACTTTGTGCATTTTTAACTCGCAATAAGGATAACAGAGAGGTGGATTGATGGAAAAGAAAGAGAACAGCTAGAGAAAGAAATACAGTACTAGTTGCAATATGGACTGAGTCCATGTTTTCGAGGTCCTGAATCTATAGGAGCCTCGTGGCACAGTGGTTAAACTGCAATACTGCAGTCAAGAGTCTGCTCAGAAGATGCTCAGGGTTGACTCCGCCTTCCGTCCTTCCAAGGTCAGTAAACTGGGCAGCCAACTCACAGAGGGGGTAGGACATGATGTAGCCTGAATAATTATACAGTGGTGCCTCGCACAGCGATCGCTCCGTATAGCGATGAAATCGCTTTGCGATGGACTTTTTGCCATTGTAAGAGCGATCGCTTTGCAGTGGTCCCCATGGGGAAAATTTGCCTTGCGATGATCGCAGGGAAGCGATCATCGCAAAGCCCCCATTTTCAGCCAGCTGATTGGCAGTTTCAAAATAGCCGCCGGGTAAACAAAATGGCCGCCCCCGCTGTTTTGCCTCGCTTTAGAGGCACCGAAAATGGCCGCCCCTATGGAGGATCTTCACTTTAAGGTTAGTTTTTAGCCCATAGGAACACATTAATCAGGTTTTAATGCGTTTCTATGGGCTTTTTAATATCACTTAGCAATGAAATCGCTTAGCAGCGATTTTTGCTGCATGGATTAACATCGCTAAGCGAGGCACCACTGTACAATAAACCCCCCAGAGAGTGCTGTAAGTGCTCTGGGGCAGCATAGAAGCAGTACACTTTGGCTTAGAATCTTTATTGAGGCTGATCGTGCATGATGATGAAAATACACCACTGTGTTTCACCAGACTTGACGAGACCAAATGAAATCCGGGTGCAGGTGCGGGATGAAGAATCACGGGGGGCCAGCTGTCCCATGTTACTCCCCAAGGCTGTTCTTGTGGCCACTGATCACACCTTAGACACAATATTTTTGGGGGTGGGGGGGGTTGCAAAGAAGTGTGGAATCACTGCTCCTGGAAAACGCCCAAGAACAGGGGATCTCCTCTGTAGCAAGATGATCTTCAAGGTGGCTCCAGCCACCGTAAAGACGTTAGCCTTGGAAAATCCCACCAGGTTCAGATTTGCTTGGCTTCAACTAGAGACGGGCATAAACCGCCGTTCGGAGGTCTGTGCCAGGTTTTTAGGCCGCCTCCCTGGCCAAAGGGCAACCTCACCATTCAGCAAGTGGGCGATCGGCCGAGGCGGCAGGGCTGGGAAACCTGTGAGCCTGCCGGAGACTGGTTCAATCGGCAGAGAGGAGCTGCGCCAGCTGGTGAGTGGGGGGTGGGGGGGGTGGAATCCAGGCAAGGGAAGAGGGGTTCGTGACCACCTCTAGCTTCAACCCACGAATACGGGTAAACAGGGTCCCTCGTGCAGAGCAGTCAGGTGCGAACGAGTCAGCTTGCATCCCACCTCTGGACCGATGCAAAAAGAAGTGTCTGCCACCAGAACCCTTCCAAGAAAAGGGGAGTCTCCAGCTTTTACCTTCAGCTTGGAGCTGGGGTTGAGCATGACGTATTTTATGGAGCCCTGGATGTTCTCGGTCCACGATGCCAGCCAGGTGACGGTGTTGTCGCATCTCACTTCTTTCCACGTGTGGCCCGGAGGGGGCTGCGGGATCTTGGAATCCCTGCCACCGAGTGGGGTGGGGCAGGGAGAAATGGGAAAGCAAGAAAACCAAACTTTGAAAAAGTTAGTGGGAGAACAAGAGACAATTTTCTCTTTGCAGTTTTCCCCCAAACCAATCCACTCCTCACCCTGTTCTTTCATTTTTTCACTTAACTCTTCTCCATATCTCAGCAAGCCTCCCATCTATGTCTACACCCAAAAGTATTTAGCTGTCTATTTCTGCTTAAGATGTTTCCTGAGTCCTCTTTTCAGCCCTCTTGGCCCACAGCTCCACTTACACCTCTCTCAGAGATTGTCCGGGAGGCAGCAAAATGGCATTCCTAGCTGGCTAACTGGGACTTTTTCGACAACCTGTGATTGTACTCTAGTTTACCCTGCCACAGTCTCCGGGACAGGCAGGTCACTGTGTTTTATTGACAAGCGCAGTCATCGCCTCCCTAACCAAAAGGACGCTTGAGCGCAAAACCGCAGCACAGAATTTATTAGCATCCTTTATTCTACTCAGTTTGGGCTGAGGACCACAAGACTTTTTTTTTAAACAAACAGAATCTACAACACAGGCATAATTTAACAAATTACTTAGACATGGTCTAGAGGGGTGGGGTATAAATTTAATCAATCAATCAATCAATCAATCAATCAATCAATCAATCAATCAATCAATCAATCAATCACCCGGATTATGAAATGGCCACTGTTCTTGTTTCCCTTCCTTCCTTCATTTGATTGACCCACTCTTTAAATACTTCTTCCACCCCCCCTGGACAAATACACAGTGCGGTGTTGTGGATAGCATGACAGACTCTAGGAGGAGGCCTGGGTTCGAATCCCCACTCAACCATGGAAACTCATGGGGAGAGTGGAACTGGTCAAATAACTCACCTACTCTCATCCAGTCCTGTAAACTCAAAATTCTTTAAATTATAAAAAGAGAGACAGGGGGGAGAGAGAATGGTAGATTCCTGGCCATCGCCTCTCCTGCCTCCGTTCCTGCTCCATCCCCTACGAGATGCCAATGCCATCTCTCAAGCTGGTAAGAACATGCCACAGATCCTTGGAAAACAGGGAGCACCTACTTGCTACAATTAATGATGACATCTTCAGGCAACACCCTCTTCTTCAGCATCCCCATTTTTGGGTGGTCTCCACGGCCGCGAAAAAGCCCCGGGGGCTCAGTTTTGAAGTTGCCGATCTTCTCCCGGTGCCCATCAATGATACAGTAACCATATTCTTCCATGATTTTTTCTGCCTCTTCTTTCAATTTCTGGGTTTAGAAACACCCCCCCAATCAAAAAAAAAAGGGGCGGGGAAGAAATCTCTTTTACACAAAGCATGCAAACCCCCCCCCAACCCAAAAAAAAAAAAAATGGGGGAGAAGAAATCTCTTTTACACGAAGCATTCCTGTAGCTTACAATAAGTATAATAAGTAAATCGATATCATAGTTATTCAGTTCTCTGGCAGTTTTAAGTTAAGAGGATAGATTTCAGCCCCAGCGGATGCTAAAAGAATAGGATGCTGGCTAAATTATGGACTGCTTCTTCCTGAAAATCAGCTCATTAACTGCTTGCCAATGGTAACCTCATATTCCATGCGCCTGAATCCGTTTCAGCCTTCAAGACTGGCTAGCAAACAAAGAATGGAAAACCTTTAAAAGAACCTTAAATTCTATTTTAAAAAGAAAAGTATTTATTTTAAAAGTTTGAACTCTGCCAGCAAACAATGAAGTCCAAACCTGCTTCTCCTCTTTGGGCAATGCTTTCTGTGCCTCCTGTTTGTCCACAAAATACTTATGGATTTCTGTGAAATCACACTTCCCGAGGTCTTTGATCTTCTTCCTTTCCACCGGTGTCATCTCCTATAGGGGAACACGGAGAAAGCCAGCTTTTACACCAGGAACGAAGGCCTGCTAATGGAATATCAGCCACAAACAAAACAGCCTCCATCAAACTCAGAATGACGGCACCAGGAAAAACAGTGTGAACTCAACTTTGTCCTAATCCTATCAAACTGCTCTTTTGAGTCTTCTCAGTGTTTAAGGTGTCCCCTTACAGCTTTCTCAACATGCTGAACTAGTCAGAGCAATGTGGCCTGGGAACCACCAGATAGGATTGGACAAAAGAGATCAGATCCAGTCAGATTACTGGCCAGAGTCCTGTTCTGCAGTTGTGCAAAATGCAGAACTTCTAGTGGTGACTTGGTGTAAATTAAGAAATCTGTATTTCCAATCACCCTAGATGGGTGTGAAAGCTAGACAGTAAAGAAAGCTGATAGGAAGATAAAAATGGTTTCGTATGAAAGGGGGCGCTGGAGGCTCTAGGCAGTAAAGAAAGCTGACAGGAAGATAAAAATGGTTTCATTAGAATGGTGGTGCTGGAGGCAAATTCTGCAAATACCCTGGACTGCCAGAAAGACCTGAAGCCATCCTACTTTGGGCACATCGTGAGAAGGCATGAGTTTCTAGAAAAGACTAATGCTGGGAAAAGGTAGCAGGAAAGGAGGAAGCCCAAATATGAGATGGACAGACTCGCCAAAGGAAGCCACAGACGTGAGTCTATAAGAGCTGAGCACAGCAATTGAGGACAGGGCATTTTGGAGATTTTTTATTCATGGGTTTGCCGTAAATTGAGGGTGACCTGATGCCACATAACAACAACCACCAGAAATCTCCGTGGGCCTTATCAGTTGTGTTATCATAGCCCTGCTGCTCTTCAGATCTCTTATCTCATCACAGTGTCTTGACGGCTGGCGGCATGAAAAGGACAAAGTATCTACCGATCCTATTCTGTCATTCCCCCTCCTTGCCTTTCGAGAACACCGTCAACAGCACCAAAAATCCAGCCAACGGGCGCGCACAGCAAATACCTTTATCCAGTCATTGAAGAAGTTGTTCTGGAAGATCTTCTTGGTGGTATACTCATGGCTGAGCATCTTGGCGTAGAACGTTGCAACCTCCTCGGCGGCTGGGGTCAGTTTCATATGTTTGCCTGGAAGGAACAAGCGTTGGCCCCATCATCATGTTCTTGCACCAGATTTTTGCCCTCTGGATCCAGAACCCTTTCTTCCCAGCTCATGCATGGAAACCCTGAAGTAACCCCGAGCACCCATCGATCGTCCCTTTTATGCTGCACACAAAATAAGGATACCCACCATTGTAGTAGAAGTTGACAACGTCCGGCAGAGGACGATAGGGTGGTGCAAAGTAGGGTCCCTTGTGTTCCAACTGGTGCCATTTGACCCCATCCTCGTGCTTCTCCTCTTCCCACCTTGTGAGACACCAAACGGGGGAAGAGAGGCAAACGTTAGCTATCTCCAGACAGACCCATGACTTTATGCATTCACACCCCAGAGATGCCTTTTTTGAAATACCGTATTTTTCTGTGTATAGGACGCTCCCCATGTATAAGACCCCCCCCACTTTTCTAACCCCAAATTAAGAAATCTCAGTGGGGCTTAGCAAGTGTAGGGGGAAAGGGATCAAAGCCCTGCAGGATCACTTTGATCCCTGCTTTCCCCTCCACTTGGTTTTTTCTCTCTTCAGCATATTTCCGTGTATAAGACCCTCCATTTTTAGTCTAAAGATTCTAGACAAAAGTATAGTCTTATACAGGTACATGGAAATATACGGTATTTTATAGGCTTTGGGTGCTCCTAGCGAAGCTCCCCTGAAAGGTAAGGACCGTGATCCAGAGGATGTGTGGCCTCTGTCATTGCAAGAAAACACAGGCAGAAACCCCCACAGACGATGCAGCACATTTAATTCCCAGTGAATTTAATCCTGGAAGCGGCTTTTGTGGACAGGAGCTAAAAGAAAGTCTCTCTCCAGATGGAAGAGGCAGAAATAGGATTCTAGGGTGCCAGTGAAGGCGGGAAGCAAAACTCCATGAAGGGAACAGCGATCATTGCTTCTAGGTAAATCTATACGGTCTGATTGCATGCTCCTTGTGTAAAACTGCAGCACTGCAGTTAAAACTCTGTTCAAGACCCAGAATCAAATCTAGGTAACCAGCTTGAGTTTCACCCAGCCTCCCATCCTTCCAAGGTCCGTAAATTAAATTTGTAAACCGCCCATAAGGATATAAGGAGCACACCTTGCTTTTATTTTGCTTTTATTCATTAAAAATTTTTTTCACCCCATCTTTCTCTCTTTAAAAAGGAGCCAAAGTGGCTTTTACATCAGAAAAAAAGACCACGTTTAAAGCTAAAAGCATTCAGTGCATAAATGCTAGAGAGGATCAAATGCCACTCTAAGAGACAGTAAACAAAATCAGCCCCTAAAATGCATTCAAAAGCAACAAGGTGCAATCATCCATTTAAAAACATCACTCCGGCAGCCAGTCCCTCAGAGAAAAGCTGCCTTAAGAGAAAGGTCTTTGCTTGCTTGTGGAAGGACAACAGAGACGGGGCCAGCCTGGCTTCCAGTGGGAGGGAGTTCCACAATCTCTGAGAGCTTCATCATCACCACTGCAGGCCATAATCGCATTGCATGTTCAGGACAGCCTAAGTGCAATGCCATAAATCACGGCAGCAATTACTGTAATGAGTTGGTGTTTCAACTCCTAACTGTGTAGAATATATACATTTGGTGCCTCTCTAGAGGATACAAAGCAGCCATTAATCTAATGGTGGTATCTCAGTGTAAATCCACAATAAGATGCTGGGCCCATTTTTTTTTTAATAACAACTTTTGTTTTTTTTAATAATGCTATAATAATAATGTATCTGTACATTATAATCCCGATTTCTACCACATGGGATTCAGAACAGCATCCATAATATTCCCAGGCTGGCATGGAGGCTGTCCAGCACTGCCTTACAGGAGTATTATAGGCCCCCAGATCATCCTTGAGACCCACGCATCGGCTGGGTGAAATCACTGGCTTGCAAATACAAAGTTCAACAAAGTATGTTTTCATTCATTTGACCGATCTATACAGTCCCACAAGGTTCATCCCACAAGACTCGCCTAACAAAAGGCCGTCCACAATATGGTGATTCGCAAGCATGGGTGCAGAATTTATTCACCTATCTTTTATGGATCTTATGAGACATGCACACACACTAAGAGTTTGTTTCGAAACGTCCGTCTCTGCTAGTGCTCAAATGTGTCAAACCCATGGGGAGGAAATCAGCTGTTCTAAGTTTGCTAAAAATTAAAAATACGGATTCTGGAGACCGTGCTCTGCCGCTGCCACCACCATCTTCCTCCTAACCCTGGTTTCCCTTGCAGCAAATCAGCTGTTCTAAGTTTGCTAAAAATTGAAAATAAGGATTCTGGAGACCGTGCTCTGGCGCTGCCACCACCATCCTCCTCCAAACCCTGGTTTCCCTTGCAGCTTTTTTTTTCCTACCTGGCTTTCAGGGTGGCCACCCTCTGGCACGCTGCATAGATCCTGTTGAGAGGCAGCCTCAGGCGCTTGCAACCCACGGCCGGCCAGAGGAGGGTGCCCCAGGGACCGGCGGGCAGGGTGGCAGCCATGCGTCTGCCTCCCATGGGCCCCTGAGCATGTCAAAAGGGCAAGTCACCCGGGGCTGCTGGAGCTGTGGGACGGTCCTCCGGCCGGCCACATGGGCTAGCAGCCCTACCTTTCACCTGGAAAGACTTCCTTCTCAGCCTTCAATCTGGACACACACACACATGCACACACACACCCGAGGGATGAGAGGAGGACCCGGGCAAGAAAAGGGGTTTGCAAAACCCGTCCAACCTGCAAAAGGGTCTTTCTCTCTCCCCCCCCCCTTCATGCGCTCCTCCCTTTCTTGAATGCTCTCTTTCAGAGCGCTTAGTCTGGACTTACCCACAATGCCACAGCCTGCAGGGGAGATGGGAAATGTAGTCTCACACCCCCCTCTTTGCCACATGATGCAAACAAACAGGTTGCTAGACAACCCCTGGTCACAAGACTAGACCTTCTGCAGCAGCAAGGAGCCCTTGAAAGAAAGCACATCTTTTGCAAAAGGGAGTTTTCTCCTGCCGGGGTCCTGCTGGGTTACAGGAGAGGCTCCTGTGCACAAACCAAGGGCTGCTTCCCCTTAAACTTAGCAAAAAAGCCAGAGGTCCAAACATTGGTCCCAAAGAACAAAAGGCAATCACAAACCCCTTGGAGAAGCAGGCCTCTCGTAGGGCGCACGTTACAGGAGAGGCTCCTGTGCCCAAATCCAGGGCTGCTTCCCCTTAAACTTAGCAAAAAAAGGCCAGAGGTTCAAACATTGGTCCCGAAGAACAAAAGGCAATCATACACCCCTTGGAGAAGCAGGTCTCTCGCAGGGCGAACCTATGATTCTGCAACAGCTTGCATAGCATCGTGGAGTTGTTTCATTTCATTTCAAAATATTTTTGCCCCGCCTTTCTTCTAAAAAAAGGACCCGAGGCAGCTTAGCTCGTTAAAACACAACATGCCAGCTAAAAGCAGCGAATGATTCACATATTAAACAATAACATTATACCAGGAAGGTTAGTTAAAGAGTTGCTAAAACAGCTTTAGAATGACTGTTCCTAATTAAGTTTTTGCTCCTTTCCAACTCTGGATTTCATTCATTCATTCATTCCTTTCATTCCTTCCTTTGCGATTTCTAACCTTCTCCTTGCATGCTTAGGTTTACAAAAGAGCCATGTCGTTGCAAGGGTTGATTAGCAATCCTACTGCATGGACTTGGGGAGACCCAGGCTGATTTCCCTTCCCCCCCCCCTCCAGGGATAAAGTCAGAAGGAAAAAGAAAGATGTGCATGCTGCTGGGAGCACACTGATTGCGAAAGGCAGAATAAACAAATAAAATTGTAGACGTCGACCTCAAAAAGGCCCCCCCCCACTACTTACTGTTTTTTCCCTGGACCCTTTTAAGAGAAATCCCAACTAATGTCAACCATCCATGCATCTAAGCAATGTTATTCACACACACACACCTACCTGCAAGGGTTGATTAGCAATCCTACTGCATGGACTTGGGGAGACCCAGGCTGATTTCCCTTCCCCCCCCCGCCCCTCCAGGGATAAAGTCAGAAGGAAAAAGAAAGATGTGCATGCTGCTGGGAGCACAATGATTGCGAAAGGCAGAATAAACAAATAAAATTGTAGACGTCGACCTCAAAAAGGTCCCCCCCACTACTTACTGTTTTTTCCTTGGACCCTTTTAAGAGAAATCCCAACTGAGGTCAACCATCCCTGCATCTAAGCAATGTTATTCACACACACACACACACACACCTACCCCACTCTCAACGTTATCCTTCCCACAAGCGTTTAAATATTATATTCTTTCTTAACAACTCTTTTTTAAATTGTAAATGAACAAAGACAGTTAAGAGTCTCTGTTTAAGCAGTATTAAAGTAACCTGTAAGAGATTATTATAACCTAAATGCATATAAAGTGATGAATTTTTTGCTCTTACAGCCACACACCGCATTGTAGACGTCGACCTCAAAAAGGTCCCCCCCACTACTTACTGTTTTTTCCTTGGACCCTTTTAAGAGAAATCCCAACTGAGGTCAACCATCCCTGCATCTAAGCAATGTTATTCACACACACACACCTACCCGTTATCCTTCCCACAAGCGTTTAAATATTATATTCCTTCTTAACAACTCTTTTTTTAATTGTAAAGGAACAAAGACAGTTAAGAGTCTCTGTTTAAGCAGTATTAAAGTAACCTGTAAGCTGAAGAGATTATTATAACCTAAATGCATATAAAGTGATGAATTTTTTGCTCTTACAGCCACACACCGCAGGCTTTAATATAAAGCAGCTATCAAGAGGTACCACTCTCATCCTCTATCAATCGATAGATCGATCCATATATCTATTGATCCGTCCATCTATCTATTGACCCACTCATCCATCCCTCTCTCGATCTTCTCCAATACTTCAAAATGTTGAAGAAGGTGGAAGGCAACATGAGAAAAAGCAGCAAGAAGATTTGCAAAAAAACCTAGTAAATGACCACCAGCTCTCTAAGGAATCATTACCTTAGTGAGTTACTTATTTGGTGATACATTTTGCTAACTTCAATTCAGTCCATTTCTTGGCATGCAGTCTGCCTCCTCTAAGGCAAACTGGTCCTTGTGGGTTCAAAGGGGATTCTTGCCAGATAAATATGAAAGGACTCTTTCTCCCTTCTAATCATCCATTCACTTAACAAACACCATCCACTGGCAGGAACGGCAAATCAAAGAGGTTTGCCGCTGGGAAGAATTCCGAAAACATGAAAAGGAAGAGTTTGCAGCGACACCTTGTGGGTAAACAGATACTAACCCTAACATAACATTAACTAAAACAGTTGCAACACAACCTTACCAAACACAAAAGATCTCAGTCCTTTTGCTCCAAGAATAAAATGCCAAGCAAACAAGATAACCAGGCATTTACCAGGATCCTAGCTGTCTATGCATAACAATAAGCATGGGGACCTCACCGAGGCCAACTCAACGGTGAGGGTGGGAGAGTCTGAATGCTGAAGAAAACAGAAGTGAAAGAACTCCACAATTAGGATAAAATAGTAATGGAATAATGGAATATATGGAAGTGGAAATGGAAGCGAGAGCTGGACCATAAAAAAAGGCTGACCGCGGAAGAATTGATGCTTTTGAATTGTGATGCTGGAGGAGACTCTTGAGAGTCCCCTGGACTGCAAGGAGAACAAACCTATCCGTTCTGAAGGAAATCAACCCTGAGTGCTCACTGGAAGGACAGATCCTGAAGCTGAGGCTCCAGTACTTTGGCCATCTCATGAGAAGAGAAGACTCCTTGGAAAAGACCCTGATGTTGGGAAAGTGTGAAGGCAAGAGGAGAAGGGGACGACAGAGGATGAGATGGATGGACAGGGTCATCGAAACGACCAACATGAATATGACCAAACTCCAAGAGGCAGTGGAAGACAGGAGGGCCTGGCATGCTCTCATCCATGGGGTCACGAAGAGTCGGACACAACTAAACAACAACAATGGAATCTAGAACCCCAGTGCAGTTTTGCAGAGAGAGGTCCGGAGTTGACACCTGCAATATGTGAAGGCTGGTTGGCAGATGTATTGCAGGCTAAAAATGTATATATTTATCGTCTCTGCTCCCGTTCTGCAGTTTTCCATCCATAGCACAATGGCTCTCAACCTCGGGTCCCCAGAAGTTCATGGGCTATAACTCCCAGAAATCCTGACCAACACAGTTAGTGGTGAGGGCCTCTGGGAGTTGCAGTCTAAGAATCTCTGGGGACCCAAGGTTGGGAACCAACATCCCCGTCTGTATGGGCCACCTGGTACTCTCTGAGCATTTTGACCACAATTCCACTCGGTCCCAGGCAGAACGGTCAATGGTCTGCAATGATGGGAGTTGTAGTCCTTTCCCCGCTCCTGGGCTCGCCCTTCGGCTTTTTCCAATATTTCTGCTGCAGCAGCAGAGGCTCGGCGAAGACGACGCTGCTGGTGGAGCAGATTGTATCCAGCCCAGCTGTATATCCATTTGGCTCAGCTGCTTTTCACCAAAGTACAGCATGGGATGCGGCACCGTAAGTCTCCTTCAATAATAAGGATAAGCCAAAAGAGATGATTGCACCTTTTTCCTTTTCTTTCCAAAGTTCAGGGAATATCAGCTGCTCCAAATAGCATCGTCCAAGCAGTCTCTAGGTGTCTTAAAGAGACCGCAAGCTAAACATGAGCCAAGAGTGTGATGCAGCAGCAAAAAAAGCAAATGCAATTCTCTCAAGAGAAGGACAGTGTCCAGCTCAAAAGAAGGAAGAGCAATGCTCCAATCTAACACTGGCCAGACTGTAATTGGAAGTGTGTGTTCAGTTCTGGGCAGAACTATGTAAGGAAGAGACAGAAAAGCTGGAATGTGACCAGGTCACTGATCCACATGGAAACCAAGCCCTCCGAGAAATGGTGGATGGGGTTCGATAGGCTTAGCCTGCAAAAAAGAAGACTAAGAGGGTGACTTCAAAGCAAACAAGGCCTCCTTTTCTCTCCCTTTTTCACAGCATCACATCCACAGCAGCGAGAGACACTCCTTGATCCTCTAAAGTCACAGTCTAAAGGCTGACGCCTGTATAATGGGAGCTGGGGAGAGAGAAGGAGGCTGCACAAGCCCGGAGTCATAAGTTCCACTCACTCCAAATGCAAAACTTACCACTTCCACCTCTCCTCCTTGGCGTTCGCCTTGCATTCCCCGTTTTCCTCCTTCCTCTTCTTCTTCCTCTTGGTTGGGTCCCCGTCCTCTTCAGCCTTCCTCTTCCGGGCGCCCTGCCGGCTTTCGGCTTTTCGGGGGCCTCTCTGGCCTTGATTCCTCTGGGACTTCTCTTCCTTTCCGTCCTGGTGGATGGTCTCCTTGGCTCGGCTCCTCTTCCTTTTGGCCAGCTTCTGACGCCCAGCGTGGCCTTCTGCTTGTGTGCCTCCCACCATCGCTGCCTCCTCCTCCTCTTCTTCCTTCCCGCAAAGCCTTCTGACCATTTCCACCCCACTGTCTTCTTCGGACTCTTGCTCACCCTTCACCTGTTTCTCCCCCGCTGACTTTCTCTCCTTTCCTTGGGTCTTCGTATCCTTCGGCAGTTTCTTATTCTTCCGGTCTTTCGCACCTTCTGAGTCCTCCTCCGCCACTGTCCTTGCTTCGCTGTGGCCCTCTAGCTTCTCCTCCGGCCCTTCACGGCCCCCTCTCTCCTGCTTTGGTCCAGAACCCTTCTTCTTTTCCTTCCTCTCTTCCACTACGGCACCTTCCGTTCCTAAACAGGGCGATGCTTCCTTTCCCTTCTGGTCAGGAACCTATCCAAAGGAAAGATTGGCTGAATGATAGCATAAGTTTCTAGTCTTCAACGTCACAAAGAGGGAAAGAAAGCATACAGATAAGATTTTTTAAATAACTAGGGTATGACATGGAGGGAACAGAGAGGAAAGTAATTCTTCTCCCCTTTCCATTTAGAGGTCAGGAGCATCCAACAAAATAAATGGGCAACACACTCAAGAGAAGACAATACTTTTTTTTTAGATAGCATGCAATGACTTTGATGCCACTTGGTAACAACCCCTACTTTTAGACTACAATTGATGTTGGAGTTACTGCAAGCTTGCATGCTGCCTCTAACAGGTGTGGCTAGGACAGACCTTTCTGGACTGAGGTGACTGCCAGTCTATCCAGCACTAACCGATTTTTCCCTCCTGCCTCTGATTCCTCTGCAATGCTCTTCTTACCCTCTCTCTAGCCTGTTGCAGTTACTCAGCCTGTTGGCAGTCAAGGAGCCTGCTGAGGGCTGTTGCTCAAAGCAGTCATGTTTTGTTAGCTTGGTGTTACCCGTTCACTGTAAGTAAACGAAGCGATTTAAAAAAAAACCTAATCATGTCTCAGAGTGAGTTATTGGAAACTGTAAATGCCAGTGGATAAGAAAAAGGGGTGGACTACTCCGAGGAACTTGAAACTCATTCTGTTCTATGAATCCCTGCACTTCTGCTGTGCAACTAAAGGAATTTAAGCAAATTCCTTTAGCTGTACAGCAGAAGTGCAGCTTCTGCAATGTGTTAAAATTCTGCAACGTGTTAAAAAGTTGCAGAAAATTCTGCAACATGTTAAAAGGTTGCAGAAAATTCTGCAACATGTTAAAAGGTTGCAGAAAACTCTGCAACGTGTTAAAAGGCAGCAGAAAATTCTGCAACATGTTAAAAAGGTTGCAGAAAATTCTGCAATGTGCTAAAAGACTGAGGAATCTATTTTCCTCAACCTGGCACCTCCAGACTGATATCAGCCCACAATGCCCATCATCCCCAGTCAGTTGGTACACACTATGTTGGGAAAGGCTCAGTCAGATTAATGCACAGACAGAAGGGATTATCAAGAGCCATGTCAGTCAAATATAATTTCCAGGATCATAGGCAGGCTATACACCTATGCCTATTAGATGACAAAGAGCTAGGAAGAGCCAGTTCTGTCAAGTCCTGATTTGGTTGGGTCTTTGAGACTGAACAAGTTAATTTCNGGGGACAACAACAACTTATTCATAGCCTGTGTCGTAACTCCAAAAAGGCAAAAAACTTTCTGATCTCAGGATGCAGCCCGAGGGGCTCTTCTGATGTGCTCAAGAAAGGCCTCTGTTAGAGATCGGAAGGAACAGAACTGTAGAGCTAGAAGGGACCACAGAGGTCATCCAGTCTAACCCCCAGTATGCATTCCGTGTGAATTAAGGGAACAGGAGCTTTCAGGTGCGCCCATGACAACAGAAGCAAAAATATAAATAAAAATGCAAAATAAAGATTCACACGTAAGATTTAATGAATGCATTGTTTATATTAATTGCAGAATCCTGCTTCCATTGGCACAGAGTTCAGGAACTCAACCCCAAAACTATTTTAGCTTAACAACACAGATGCTGTTGCATCTAATGGCCAATCCTGGCAGCTATTCAGATGATTTTTCCAACCAACTCCTGCTATTAGACACATTCAAGAGGAGGAAATGCTGCATTTTATCCAAAAGCAGGTACTCACCAGCTTGTTTTCATCCCCAGTCTCACACACGCTCTGTTCGGGTTCCAGCTTAACTTTCTTGATCACAGGCTCTGCTCTAAAATACAAACACAGCACAACACACCTTCACATATGCTTAAAATGTGTCACAGCTTCTTGCAAACGTCTTAATCCACTGCTAGAGGACAGCTATGCCAGGCAGTAGATCTTTGTCTCATGAAAAGCCAACAAATTGTTATGTAGTTAAACTAATTATTGTATTTTACTGCTTGGGATATGTGGTGAGATAATGACAACAATCTAGCATGAGAGGGACTTTGAGGATCTAAGGGAATCTCCTTTCCCACTAACTTATCGGTAGTTATTTATCCCAATTCTGGCTTGCCCTTCCCCCTCCCTATATGTTTGCTTGCTTCCTTTATTTCTCAGTCTCTCTCTCTCTCTCTCCTTCATTCTCTTCCACATGGTAGGCATGGAAGGATGGGTCTCCCACATGGCAGGGAATTCCAACTCTTTGTTCTTCCTTCTTATTCTTCTGAATGCAACTACTGATCGCAAATGTTAGTAAAGGTACCACTCTCTGCTTCCAGAGTGATTTTGAATATATTCAGTGTGAAAAAGGGTGAGCTACCAAGACTTAAGCTATTCTCTCATGCTTTCTCTGTGCAGTTGTCGTTTACACCCGAGACTCTGCTAACTATAAAAAGAATGAACCAAATTATACAATAATACAGAGATTTACATGTGGAACAGTCTTCCACAGGTACCAAAATAAACTGATTGGCTTTCAGTAAAGTGCAGATTGAATTAAACAGGTCCAATTCTGTCACTTCCTTTTCTACATCAGGCTAAGAAATTTGAGTATTTGGTATTTTTTTAAAAATGAACTTACTCAGTGTTTCAATCCTGCCTTATACCTAGCAAGCATTTGAAAGTTATTCAGCAACTATTAGCATTTTTAGAAGAGGCAGCTGTGTTAGTCTGTGCAAAGCTAATCAAGCAAAACCCAAAGAAACAAAACAAAAAAAGACAAAAATATCTGGCACCTTAAAGACTATCTATTTTATTTTAATGTGAGCTTTCACAGGTCATGTCCACTTCTTCAGACATATGGGCGCGGGATGAGAACTATTAGCATAATGAAGTAAAGCATAGGGCACAAACGATCACCTGCTAGATGTTGGCCAGAGTTGAAGAACCAGAGGATCTGGGTGTCCAGTAACACCTGGCTAGCCACAATGTGACTGAACACCCCTGTAGTAAATCTGGTGAGGGAGGCATGATTCCCACCACTTTCTAGTCTACCCTAAAAATTCACACATCTAGTAGCAACTTTAGGTAAAGGTTCCCCTTGACATCTAGTCCAGTCGTGTCCAACACTAGGGGGCGGTGCTCATCCCTGTCTCCAAGCCATAGAGCCAGCGTTTGTCCGTAGACAGTTTTCGTGGTCACGTGGCCAGCGTGACTAGACACAGAACGCCATGGCCTTCCCACCATGGTGGTACTTATTTATCTACTGTACTCACATTTTTACATGTTTTCGAATGGCTAGGTTGGCGGGAGCTGGGACAAGCGACGGGAGCTCCATCCGCCACATGGATTCGATCTTACGATGGCGGGGCTTCTGACCTTGCAGCACAGAGGCTTCTGCCGTTTAACCCACAGCGCCACCACATCCCACTTTAGACTTAATTAAACTTACTCAATTTGGGTTTTAGTGATTCGATTTATTGAGAACCTTTCCATTTCTGCCTTTACTACTTCCATGTGGTGAAACAAAGATCTGTGGCTCTTAATACTAAATTACCCATTACAATACTGAATAAAGTAACAGCATTCATTCTGAAGAGACAAACTGCATAAGAAAAAAAATCATATTCTTTCCAATGGCAAATGTAAATTTAAAGGGAAGAGACCGTTTTAAAGCTCCTTTTCTTGTGAAGCCAGTCGTCCCCGTTTTACCTCAGACACGAAACCCTATGGCCATTACATTCAGCGAAGTCCACGTCGGCCTCAGGATCTCTGAAAGAGAAAAATCCGAGTGTCTCTGTCAAAAATACAGAATTATTTTCTGAAGACATGACATGATTTGCCATCTGAAACAGAATGGTTTGAGCACAATATGGTATACCACATTTGGACAGAGCAGCAGGAAACGAGGAAGGTCAAAGAGAAGATGGACGGACTCCCTCAAGGAAGCCACCAGCTTGAGTTTACAAGAGCAGGGCCGCTGAGGACCTTCCGGAGGTCACTCATTCATAGGGTCGTCATAGGTCAGAGGCAACTGGATGGCACGTAATGTCTGACAGCATGGTTTTGGGGGGAGTCAAGAGCAAGGAAAGCTCTAAGAGGGGCAGCCAGTTGAAGGCAGGATAAATGCAGTGGTTTGAGTGCAAGACTAAAGCACAAGAAGCCCGGGTGCAAATCATCATGTGGCCACGAAGTTCACTGGGAGACCTTGGACCAGTCTCCCTGTTGCTCAACCTGGCCTCCCTTCCCCAGGGTCGTTGGGAGGGTGAAATGTGGGGAAGAAACCAGCCATGCAGACTGCTCTGAACTCACTGGGGAAGAGGTGGGAAATGCCAAATACTAAATCAACAGTACTCATCATACTAGTGGATGGAAGACTGCCCCTGTTCCAAAGAGCTCATCCTCAGAGAGTGGCAGTCCGGGAAGAGCAGGATGTGAGGTTGCTAGGTAACAAGCATCACACTGCTCTGCGCTTTGAGCCTATAGCACCCATCCATCCGTCCGTCCATCCATCAACTAACCCATCCATCCATCCATCCATCCATCCATCCATCCATCGACTAACCCATCCACCCATCAACTAACACATCCATCCATTGACTAACCCATCCATCCATCCGTCCGTCCGTCCGTCCATCGACTAACCCATCCATCCATCCGTCTGTCCATCCTTCCATCCATCAACTAACCCAACCATCCATCCGTCCGTCCATCCATCAACTAACCCATCCATCCATCAATCCATCTATCCATTGACTAACCCATCTGTCCGTCCGTCCGTCCGTTGGTCCATCCATCCATCCATTAATCACCCACCCACCCATCCATGCCTTCTTGGCTACAGTTGCCCCAAAGGGTGCTTGGAAATGAAATGCATGAGCTACAATCCTAAGTTTCACTGTTTATCCCCCCCCAACCCACCTTTGATCCCAAAATAATCCATCCATCCATCCATCCATCGACTAACCCGTCCTTCCATCCATCCATCCATCCACTAATCACCCACCCACCCATCCATGCCTTCTTGGCTACAGTTGCCTCAATGAAACGCATGAGCTGCAATCTTAAGTTTCACTGTTTATCCCGCCCCCAACCCACCTTTGATCCCAAAATAACATCTTTCCCCTCACTTTATACTCACAACAACCCTATGAGGTAGATGAGGCAAAAGACAGGAACTGACCCAGGGTCACCCCGTCAGTATCGTGGCTCAGGGAGAACAACAGTCTTGAGTTCCCAAAATCTCTGCCTTGATACGGCTTTATTTCTACTACAGGAAGCACAACGTCCAGATACATTTATTTGTTTGTTTTAAAATATTTTCACTCCATTTTTTTCCTTAAAAAAGATCCTTAGGGCAGCTTAGATCATAGAAAGACAGTATTTAAAAACTAAAAACAGTAGGCGTACAAAGGCTTGTAAAGAGGACAATATTTAAAAACTAAAAACAGTAGGTGTACAAAGGCTTGTAAAGAAAATCAAACAAATATCATACTAAAAGTGGAAACGAAATCGACACCAAAACCACATTTAAAAATAACACAGTACAACAAATCCATTTAAAAAAAATCTTTCCAAACAGTCATTCACAAACAATCCATCTAAAAATCTCACACAAGTAGCCAGTTACTGAGGGGAGGCTTGCCTGAAAATAAATGTATTTCCCTGTTTGTGAAAGTGCAGCAAAGATGGGGCCAGTTTCAAAGTCTGGGAGCAGCAATAGAGAATGTCCTCTCCTGTCTCCCCACCAAATGTCCCTGCTAAGGTGATGGGACTAGGAGAAAGGCCTCTCCTGATGATCTCATGGGGGGGCCTTAAGAGTTCCAAAGTCTCTGGGAGCAACCACAGAGAAGGCCTTCTGTTGTGTCCCCACAAAATGTCCCTGCTAAGGTGATGGGACTAGGAGAAAGGCCTCTCCTGATGATCTCATGGGGGGGCCTTAAGCAATAGGTTTCAGGCAGCAACTCAAAAAAGGGTCATCAAAATCAACTCCAAACTCCCCTCTCCAAAATTTGCGAAACTGCCGTACATTCAGTGCCTTCATTGTCGTGGCAGGTTCAGACTGGAGGGGCTCCTTCACCCTCCCTGGGACTTTAAGGGACAGACTAAAGCTATATTCCCCCCACTCCCCCAAAAAAAGTGGGGGCGGGGAAAACCCTGCAACAGCCCAAACTTATACGATTACCTTGATATTAAGTCTAAATCGGCAATAGGATTCTGGGCCCTGGATTTTAACACTGTGTGAGCCACCCCTGGGTGTTTTGGTGGAAGATGCCGGCAACGGAAGTAGAAATCTAAAAATATGAAGGAATAAAATCTAGCCACGCTGGTGAGGTGCCAACACCTGCAAATGCCAACATCAAGCCGTCCCGTGACCGCTTAAATACCCTTCTGCTAATTTATCAGCGCCAAACGCAACACACAAACGACAGAGGCTCCTCAAAACGGGTCAATCATCACAAGCCCAGCTCTGAGAACCAGAAAAGAGGCTTTCAGACCTGATTACATTGTTGAATTAAAACTAAAGTCGAATTAATCTGGGACGATTCCCAGCCCTCGTGCTTGCCCCCTCCCAGATGCCAACACGGGTTGGGTTGTAATCTGGCCCCATAGCTTCGTCGTGAGCATTATTAAAAAGTCTTTGCCCGCTTTCGTCCCCCTCTGGGGCTAAAAAAGTGACAAAACCTTGTCCCATTCTTGAGGGGGGGGAACCCAATAAAACACAGCAAAGTCTACTTTCGAATGAGTTTGTACAGAATCAGGGGGTGGCTGTTTTAAAGCCTGTTTATCCTTCTTCAATAACGGGCTGGCCTTGTGTTTCCCTTTGCCTTCTCTAAATGAGCAATTAATTTTTTAAGAGCGTTTAGTCTGGCAGTGGAGCCAGAGGCTGGGAATTCGATTCCCCGGTGGTGCCTCCCAGGAGAAGAACAAGCCAGCCTGTGTGGCCTTGAGCCGGCTGCACAGCCCCAGGGATCCCACATTCTCCCCAGGAGAAACCACTTGATGAGTAGTCTTCTCTACCTGGGTTGCCATAAACCAGAATGATGGCAAATGAGGATGATTTATAAAGAAGTGCCTCACTAGGCGATGATAATCCATTCCACTGAAATCGCTGTTTAGCAAAATCATCGTCTAGCGAAAAGCATTTCCCCATTGGAATGCGCTGAAACCTGTTTAATGCATTCCAATGGGGAAGAATCGTCGTTGTCTGGCGAAGATCGGCCATAGGAAAGCCTCTTTGTGAACTGCTGATCAGCTGTGTAAATACCTGTCTTACGAAGCTTAGGTCCCGAAAACACCCGTTTTGCGAGCGCGGAGAGAGCTGTCAAAATCGTCATCTAGCGAAAATCGGTTTGCGAAGCAGGAACCAAACATTGTCTAGCGAAATTCCCCCATAGGAATCACTGTTTTGCGAATCACTATAGCCATCCGTCTTTCACATCCATACATGGTGAGCAGGAATATCAGAGTGTCTCCAGGGACACATCCTGACACTGGATGATCTTCACTAGTACCTTCACAGCTGCCCTTCTGAGTCTCAGCCTCCTCCTGATTTCTTAGCTAGAGTCTCCATTTGTTCTTGGAAGGAAATGATTTTATATAACACCCCGCTCAATAGTGACATATTAACAGGTGGTCATCAGCAGTCTTCCTTAATTAACTTGACAGATGCTTATAAACAAGAAACATAATGTCTTTCAGTTCTAAGGCCTTTAAATGGCTGCGGAAAGATGCACAACAGGGATCCGTAGGCTAATGCTTTCAAAAAGAAAAATTAATCCGATGTGGAGAGAAATCACTTGCTAGTCACATCCCAGGAAAAGCAAGGATTTAAACTGCTATTTTCAGTATTTACGTGGAAGTGCGGCCAACCTCCTACGTATTCAGCTTCAAGCAAAAATGTCTAAGCACAGCTACTTGAGAAATGAAAAACATAACATTTCCAAGTTCTGTTCGGCACGTAAAACCTGATTTGCAGGTTGGTTTGTGAATCACAGCGTTTGCTGTACAGTTTGCCATCATTTTCAAAATGGCAAACCACAGCTGCAGCCACAGATGAGTCTAACCTGGCCGATGCAGCTTTGGGTTATTAAGCCATACAGTGGTGCCTCGCTTGATGAAGATAATCCGTTCCAGCAAAATCCTCGTCAAGCGATATCCTCGTCAAGCAAAATAAAAAATCCCACTGAAATGCATTGAAAACCCATTCAATGCATTCCAATGGGCTGAATAACTCACCGTTCAGTGAAGATCCTCCATAGGGTGGCCATTTTCAGCTCCCTGTCTTGCGAAAAAGCCTTCCTAAATACAGCAGGGAGCCATCTTGTGCACCCAGTGGCCGTTTTGAAACCTGACGATCAGCTGTTTTTGATAGTCGTAATATGAAGAATCAGTTCCCGAAGCAAGGAACTGATCATCGCAAAGCAAAAAAAAAACCCCATTAAAACACTGTTTTGCGATCGCAAAAACTTCATTGTTAAGCGATTTCCTCGTCTAACAAGGTAATCGTCAAGCAGGGCACCACTGTATGCTGGGCAAATTGAAAATGACAGCTGAAAAGCCACTGTAGTTCAGAGGGGCTCCATGTTGTTATGATTGGAAGCTCAGACAACAGACCTACTTTTTAACTCTGATGGACAGAAACTATGGTTTAGTGTGATGTCTAAACAAGGCTGTTGATTTAACTCAGCCTCCTCCGCCATAATGATTTTAAACCATTTTAAAAATAATTTAAAAAACCATTTTAAAGCATATCTGCCCCACATTCCCCTTGGTAGATTGTGTAATTCCAACCAGAAGACAAGGCAGGCTATTACAACACAATTACAATACCCAGGTCTAATTAAGTTTATTAGGGAAAAGGTAAAGGTAAAGGTTCCCCTTGACAATTTTTGTCCAGTCGTGTTCGACTCAATCCCCGTTTCCAAGCCATAGAGCCAGCGTTTTGTCCGAAGACAATCTTCCGTGGTCACATGGCCAGCGCGACTTAGACACTGTTTACCTTCCCACCGAGGTGGTACCTATTTATCTACTTGTATTTGCATGCTTTCGAATCCCTAGGTTGGCAGGAGCTGGGACAAGTGACGGGAGCTCACTCCGTCGCGTGGATTCGATCTTACGACTGCTGGTCTTCTGACCCTGCAGCACAGGCTTCTGCGGTTTAGCCCACAGCGCCACCACGTCCCTTATTAGGGAAAGAAGCCATCAACTCTAAACAAAACAATCCTCTAAATTATTTAATCAGATTAAATTCAGAGCAAAACATTCTATGCATGTCAATGACCCCATCATCACATAGGCGTAGTGTTTGCTCTGAGTTTTATGCACTGAGCCCAGGGCCGGACAGGACAACCGACAAAGCCCCCATCCAGCTCCATGACTCCACGTGCCACAATTGTGTGGCCCCTGAAAGCACAGAGCAGCAAGGTGAAGGGGCCACTCACCTGGTTGGGCTCTCCTGCTCTGCCAAGCCAGGGTTCGACCGAGAAGACTCAGCTTTCTCCTAAAAGGGAAAAGCTCAGGATAGCATTCAAGAAAAAAAATCAAAAGGGTCTTTTTAAAAAAATTGTCCCACGCCTCTTATTCTGGCCCCAGATGCACTGCTGGCTCAGCGGCCTTCCATTTCCTGAGATTTTAGAGCCGGAAACCTGAGGGGCTTGGATGCCACAGGCATGGAACCAGCCCATGTCACAGAGGGGGGGGGCTTTGTGATGTCACTGGGTGTCTGTCCTGCAACACAATAGTCAGATTGTCTACACGCCCTGGAAGCAACAGAAAGTCACTACGGCAAATGGTAACTTCTCTCCCAACCCTGTTCCAAAAGACATGGCAGGCCAAGCGAATGCACCTTGTGCCCGGATTCAGGGTGTGCCAACATGGTGCAAGGGTTATAGGTAAGGTAAAGGTTCCCCTTGACATTTAGTACAGTCGTGTCTGACTCCAAGGCATGGTGCTCATCACCGTCTCCATGCCGTAGGGCCAGCATTTTTTTTTTGAGACAGTTTCTGTGGTCACGTGGCCAGCGCAACTAGACACGCAACGCCGTGACCTTCCCACCGAGGTGGTACCTATTTATTTACTCTCACTTTTACATGCTTTCAAACGGGTAGGTTGGCAGGAGCGGGGACAAGCGAGGGGAGCTCCCTCTGTCGCATGGATTCGGTCTTACGATTGCTGGTCTTCTGACCTTGCAGCACAGAAGCTCCTATGGTTTAACCCGCAGTGCCACCAGGTCCCGACAAGGATTATACACCTACCCAAATACATTTACTTTGAGCTAGCAGGTAAGAGATGGGAAAGAGAGAGAAACAGGCATCTAGGCTTTAAATCCACCCCACCCCCAGCAATCAAATTTTAGCCGCCTCCAACACTTTCAACTAGAAATTGGCTTCTTCTCTTAGAAATACGAGAAACCGAACTTTCCCGAGACGTCCTCTGATACTGGGAGGCTTCGCAATCCTCCGGACCAAGGCCACCCCGGATCATAACTATAGGGGTTCCTTGGGGAAATTCTAAGTGCGTAGTCTCTACGCTTGGCTCTCGTTTGTTTAAAAATTGGTTGCCTAATGCTTATGATCAGAGAAGCATCAGGGGAAATGCACAGACACTAATATCCCTCCGTTGTTCACCACAAATTACTTTCGCTCCCGTTTTCCAGTCTTGTGGCCCATAACGGCCACGACTCGATTGACTCAAACGCTAAAGGTCATAGCAGTTCACAACCGGACAGCCGATTTGTCGGTTGAATTCCTGTTGCGCAGTTGCACTCAAGTAGACCCACTGGATCAGTGAGTGGGATTTGGCAAGCCAATGCCTCCGTCAAGTCCCACTGATTCGCTCAAGTTGCAACTTACATGGGCGCAATAAGTCACAAATAAGCCTCCGTGTTAACTTAGTTAAGTCGCAACGGGAGCTGGTCCATTTGAATTAACGGAACTTGTAGGAGTTGACTCATCAAGTCCTCACTGACCCAATGGGTCTACTCTAGTGTGACTTACTACACAGGATTTCATCCACTGCATGCCTGCATTCAGTTAGCCAGTCACTGGCTAACTAACCACTATAATAGGTTACAATGGACTGAATTTCATTTCCTCTTGGGCCATGTACCTGCTGGTGTTCAGACGTCTCTTTTTGCATTACACCATTTCCAATGCCGGTCTTCTTCCTTGGGCCTTGGTTCCCGCCGGCCTCCTCTAGCTTTTGAGAGCTTCTTAGCAAAACAAGGGAATGAACAGATGGTTAGAAAAGTGTCTTTCGTCCCAATCTCTGGCCTGCTGCACCCCTTCAACCACCCCCCAGACATGGCTAAAATTGCAGATCACTGAAAATATTCCACAAGAGCCTAAATTTCTTGCATTCGTATTTCAAAACACATATTACATGGAATTAGTATAACAGTACGGGCTACAAACATCTAGCGTTTTCCACAACACTCCTTTAATTTTGCTCATGTCGTCGTCGTTTAGTCGTTTAGTCATGTCCGACTCTTCGTGACCCCATGGACCAGAGCACGCCAGGCTCTCCTATCTTCCACTGCCTCCCGGAGTTCTGTCAATTTCATGTTGGTTGCTTCGCAGACACTGTCCAGCCATCTCATCCTCTTATCCGCTCGTGAGCCGGGTTCAATCCCAGGTAGCTGGCTTGAGGTTCACTCACCCTTCCATCCTTCCGAGGTCAGTAAACTGAGTACCCAGCTTGCTGGGTGGGGACACTGTCCAGCCATCTCATCCTCTTATCCGCTCGTGAGCCGGGTTCAATCCCAGGTAGCTGGCTTGAGGTTCACTCACCCTTCCATCCTTCCGAGGTCAGTAAACTGAGTACCCAGCTTGCTGGGGGTCAATGTGCAGCCTGCATAATTAACTTGTGAACCACCCAGAGAGTGCTTGAAGCAGTATGGGGCAGTATATAAGCAGCACGCTTTGCTTTGACATATACCTCTGGTGTCCTCAGTAAAAGGGCTGGTCTTTCTATCAGCCAAGAAGGCTGCACACCTAATGCAGGCTTACTTGAGAAGCTGGGAGTGTGCCATGCTGAGCTTAGCTGGATCACCTTCTGAATAAATATGCAAACACTTGGCAGGCTTCCTTGCCTTTCCCCCCCTTCATATGAATCACATGTACCAAACTCTTAGCCAAGTATATTTCTGCACATAAAGCAAGATGGACAAAATCTCTCTCCTCGAATCAACAGCTTAAAGGGAATCATATTGCTAGCAAGAAAGAAAGAAAGAAAGAGACATTGGGTGGAAGGGAAGAGTGAGTGTCCACAAGACAGGCAGGGAAAAAAACTTTTTTTTTCCTGAGGGTAAAGCTTTTTGAATCCCATACACATCCCAGCTGTGGATTTACTGGCACGGTCCGAGAGATTCACTGGAGTTGTCAAAGCTATTGGCCCCAGAAGCAAACACATCCCAACTCTGTTTCACAGGACGGATTTAAACCACTAGTTAGTACGTAAGATGATTTCAGGATGGGGGGACCAGGCTGTTAAAGCCACGGGTGTTAAAATGATAAAAAACAGACATCAGACTTTAGTAGGTATATGCCAAGAGGAAAAGAAAGCAACAATTAAAAGAGAAACAATTAAAAGGCCCAAAGCAATATGCAAAGGCTATTTCAAGCTGCATGAACAGAAGTAGAACCTCAAAATTCCACAAGATCCCCTCTACAGTATTTATCAGGTTAGGCCTCATCTAGAATACCGAGTCCGCCATACTTTAAGAAAGATGCCAATAAAATGGAGCAAGTTCAGTGGAGGGCAACCAGGGGATGATCGGGGGGGTGGGGTGGAGACAAAGCTCTATGAGGAAAGACTGAAAGAACTGGGAAGGTTTAGCCTTGGGAAAAGAAGACGGAGGGGAGAGAAGATCGCAGTCTTCAAATATGTGAAAGGCAGTCCTACAGAGGAGGGGCAGGATCTGTTCTTGATCATCCCAGAGTGCTGGACATGCAACCATGGGCTCAATTTAAAGGAAGCCAGATTTTGGTTGAATATCAGGAAAAACCTCCTAACTGTTAGAGCAGTACGACAATGGAGCCCATGACCTCTGTAGGTGGCAAGCACTCCAACACTGGAGGCATTCAAGAGAAATTTAGACAACCACCTGACAGATGTCCTTTGATTTGTATTCTTGCATTGAGCAGGGGGTTGGACTTGATAGTCTCATAGGGCCCTTCCAATCCCATTATTCTATGATTCTATGAATATACAGTTGTGCACCACTGAATGATTACCCCGCTCTACAACGAATCCGCATTACGTTGACGTTTTTGCGATCGCAAAATGATGGTTTAAATGGGGGGATTTCACTTAACGATGATTGGTTCCCTGCTTCAGGAACCGACTTTTCGCTTTATGACAATCGGCAAACAGCTGATCGTCGGGTTTCAAAATGGATTCCTCACTTTACAGGCACCGAAAATGGCCGCTGTATGGAGGATCTTTGCTGGACGGTGAGTTTTTCAGCCCACTGGAACACATTGAATGGGTTTTCAATGCGTTTTCATGGGATTTTTTCGTTTCGTTTGACAATGCTTTCACTCTACAGCGATTTCGCTGGAACGAATTAACATTGTCAAGTGAGGCACCACTGTATGTGGAATAGCGCCTAAAATCTTATCAGGAGAAACCATCTAACACCTTTTTTCACTGTGTCTACTTACAAACCTGCCCCCTCACTGTTTTCACAGCATTTACGTATGAGTGCTCCAAAGTGGACTTATCCTTCCTTTTTTTCTGGTGGCACTCTGGGATCAGCATGCAGCTTGCCTAAGGCTACACAGGCCGCATCCTCTCCTGGCAAACAAAGTGGGGAACTGAACCCCAAATCTCGGGCTCCACAGCGAGATACCTACCTTGCTGAGCTATCCAGCCGGCAATGAACAGTTATGGTGGCTTTTTCCACAAACCTGAGATCATCAAACTTTTGCAAACGGTACCATATTTTTCCATATATATGACTATACTTTTGTCTAAAATCTTTAGACTAAAAATTGAGGGTCATCTTATACACGGAAGCAAGCTGAGGAGAGAAAAACAAGTGGAAAGGAAAAAGCGATCCTGCAGTGCTTTGATCCCTTTCCCCCTACACTTGCTAAGCCCCACTTAGATTTCTTAATTTTGGATTAGAAAAGTGGGGGGCGTCTTATATATGGCAGTGTCTTATACACGGAAAACTACAGTAGTTTCTTCTGTTTGAGATAAACCTAGAAGCTTAGTGTCAAAGCCTGGCTAATGCTTCATGACCTCTTCTAACTGAGAAAAAGCAAAGTGTGCTGCTTATATACCACCACACCGTGCTTAAAGCACTCTGGGCAGTTTACAATTTAATTATGCAGGCTACACATACACTCTCACCCCCAGCAAGCTGGGTACTCAATTTACTGACCTCAGAGGGATGGAAGGCTGAGTGAACCTGGAGCCGTCTACCTGGGACTGAACTCAGGTTGTGGGCAGAGTTTCGGCTGCAACACAGCAGTTCAACCACTACACCATGAGAAACTCAAAGACTACTCTGTTTCTCTGCTCCATGCAATCAATCAAAACTCAATTACAGCACTAACATGGACAACGGTTTGCCCTAAATGTAGGTCATAAATTACTGCCCACATGAGATGCAAACACACAACACTGACTCTTAAAGCCAGCATGCATGTTTTACTCCATATGTCTGAGGAAGTGGAATGATCCACAAAAGCTCACATTAAACACACACACTGGTAACATTCCGCATAGATTATTGCAATGCACTCTACATGGGGCTGCCTTTGAAGACGACTGCAACTGGTCCAGAATCGAGCTGGGCGCCTGGTGAGTGGTGCAGCCGCCAGGGAACATATCAAGCCGATTCTGTATAAGTTACATTGGCTACCAGTTGCTGCCCGGGCCCAATTCAAAGTGCTTGTTTTGACATATAAAGCCCTAAACGGCTTGGGCCCTGGATCCCTGAAGGACCGCCTCTTTCCATATGAACCTAAAAGGTAAAGGTTCCCCTTGACAATTTTTGTCCAGTCGTGTCCGACTCTAGGGGGCGGCGCTCATCCCGCTCTTCAAGCCATAGAACCAGCGTTTGTCCGAAGACAATCTTTCCATGGTCACATGGCCAGTGTGATTTAGACACGGAACGCTGTTTACCTTCCCACCGAGATGGTACCTATTTATCTACTCGCATTTGCATGCTTTCGAACCGCTAGGTTGGCGGGAGCTGGGACAAGCGACGGGCGCTCACTCCGTCGCGTGGATTCGATCTTACGACTGCTTGGTCTTCTGACCCTGCAGCACAGGCTTCTGCGGTTTAGCCAATATTAGCTGTGGGTCCGATGGCAATTTTTATATATATTTTAATTGCATTTTAATTGTTATGAATTTTTATTGTATTTTAAATGTTGTAAGCCACCCAGAGACCTTTGGGTAGTGTGGGCGGCATAATAAATAAATAAATAAATAAACAAATAAACAAACAAACAAAAATATGACAGTTTTTAAGATGCCACAAGGTTTTCGTCTTTTTTACATTTTATTTTTCTTTGGGTTTTGCCTGATAAGTTTGTACCCTGCTATCCTCACTACCTGTAAAGAGAAGGAAATAAGAGATAAAGGCTGCTCTGGATACTTGGGGAGTATGCTATGAGTGTTCTCGTCTCCTGAGAGTCCATCACTCTCTCCATACTGGATTTCAGAATTGGTTTCCTACTCCATGATGTTTTAAGTCACAGCTTCATGCAACGAGGTCTTGCCCCGGCCTCTGAACAATGATATGGGGCAAAGCCAGAGTAAAGCTCTCTAGGGTGGTGGAAATCCGAGAGGGAAGAAGCAGACAAAAAAATACATGGAACAAACTCATGCAAAACTAAACCACTGGCTAATTTGCTAGATAATATGATCCCGAGCCCACAGAAGGGTTTCCAAACAATGTGATCTTTTAATTAAGGTCACTCGCTTATACTGGACAATTTTGTACCCAACCATGTCCTCCACCACAGAGCAATCACCATTTCCGGAAATGATCTGCAGTGGCAGATAAATTACCATTTGCCATCTGGCGGGAGAGAACGCTTCTCCTCCAGCTGTACAAATTGAAAACACAGCTTTTAATATCAGCCTTCCTCGTGGTTATGTGTCATCACGTCCCTCCCGATTCACGGTGACCCTATGGAGGAGTGCCCGCCGAGAGGTTCTGCTCTTAATTGCTTTGCACAGCGCTTGCAAACAAAATGTGGTGGTTTCCTTTACCGTGTCCATCTATTTCATGTTGCAGTATCCACCTACCGTTCAGAAAAGGCCCTCAAAGCAAGCAATCAACTCAGCAAGCACAATGAAGAGACATAATAAAGGAAACTTGCATTTACAATTCAATTCAAATCAGGCAGTGGCCGTAAATGTTAAGTGTATAAGCTCAGCAAGCTATTGCAGTTTGCAATACCCGCTGAAACAGGAAGGTTTTCAAGGATTGGTTGTTGTGGGTTTTTTGGGCTCTTTGGCCGTGTTCTGAAGGTTTTTCTTCCTAACGTTTCGCCAGTCTCTGTGATGAAACGTTACGTAACTCTCCTGTCCCTCTTCGGAGGACAGGAGTCAGAACTCTTTTCTGTCCTTTTCAAGAATTTCTTAAAAATTTCCAGGGAAGGAACTGGGTGAATTTCTCTAGTAGATGGGGCAACCACAGAGAAGGCCCCGTTTCTTGCTCTCTCCTTCTGGGCCCCTCTACCTAGCCTGGAATGTGCATATAGAACAGGTGGTCTCTCTTGAAAAGAGGTGTTCTACCACGTACAAAGTTCTCAAACCGTATAGAATTATTCAGTCATAGAATTATTAAGCTGTAGGTAAACTTCTGCTTTTAATTAAGGTCATCAAAGCCACCAACATGACTTTGACCCAACTCCGGGAGGCCGTGGAAGACAGGAGGGCCTGGCGTGCTCTGGTCCACGGGGTAACGAAGAGTCGGAAAACGACTTAACAACAGCAACCTTCAGCACTGTTCCCATAAACTTTAACCCACCGGCCATCCTGGGTAGGGATTCTGGGAGCTGAAATCCCAAACATCAGGAGAACCAAAAATTTTCCACCCACTGGGAAAACAAAAGAAAAAAAAACAAAAAAACCCCCAGATTGGAACACATTAAACAAAGTTTAATGCGTTCCAATACATTTCCCCTACCCGTTTAGCGACGATTTCGCATAGCGAGGGTTAATCCGGAACGGATTAACCTCGCTATGCGGGGCACCACTGTACAAAACCGGGGGTCTCTGTATAAGAAACACTCCACACAGGACAACCGGGGGGGGGGGGTCTCCAGAGTTCTGGCAGACACATCATCTATTCTGGGCCCCTGGAGAGTCATATGAGCTCCTGTAACCCCCAACCCACTTTTCTTACAAAAGAGGTTGGAGGGGAGGGTTATTAAGAGACAATAGGGGCTAGGGCATCTCCAAACATGGCAGAACTTTGTTGTTGTTTAGTCGTTTAGTTGTGTCCAGCTCTTCGTGACCCCATGGACCAGAGCACGCCAGGCCCTCCTGTCTTCCACGGCCTCCCGGAGTTGGATCAAATTCATGTTGGTCACTTCGATGAAGTGTCCAACCATCTCGTCCTCTGTTTTCCCCTTCTCACACTTTCCCAACATCAGCGTCTTTTCCAGGGAGTCTTCTCTTCTCCTGAGATGGCCAAAATATTGGAGCCTCAACTTCAGGATCTGTCCTTCCCGTGAGCTCTCCGGGTCGATTTCCTTCAGAATGGATAAGTTTGTTCTCCTTGCAGTCCAGGAGACTCTCAAGTGTCTCCTCCAGCACCACATCCCCCAGAAGCCACAAGGCGACAATGAACCTCCCCAAATTATTATTATTATTTAATTAAAATTCGGAATTATGGGGCATTTGGTCCCAGAAGTGCTTTACTTGAACCCTTCAGGGGCCAACAAACAGCAGTTGGGCTGCAAGTTGCCCTCGAGGAGAACATTTGTGCTGACGCCGGTTTTGCAGAGAGACAGATTAGACACAGTACCTAGAGATGGTGTTCTCCTGTAATGGCTTCTCTTCCATCGAAAGCACTTTGTCTGGATTGTTCAAAGCAGGCCACTGAAAAAAAGAAGCGCATCTTTAAGCGATAATGAGTGCATTTTAACACCAGTGCTAGGTATGTTTGACTTCTCCTTGCCCATATCGGATATGTAAATCTTTGTTTATTGCTTTATTTCAAGTGAAAATATTTTTAAAAATCAGAGGTTTTTTCCCTTCGCTCTCCTGAGCATGATTTAGATGGGCTGCTATGATTTTTTTTCACATTTTAGTCCTTTTGAAAAAAAAATTTCACAGAAGTCCCCCCCCCCAATAATAACTGGTTATTTTGCACAAAATATGACAATTTTATGCAAAATATAACATTTTTTGGCTGATGCTCCTGCAGGTAAAAAGAGCACCCATCATTTTACTCTCATGTAGAAATAGAAAAGAAATCTCACAGCGGTTGATAAGGCTTTCAGCAAGATGCCCCAGTGTCTCAAGACATCATTTTCCGTCCCAGATGAGAAAAGCTGCAAATGTTATACCCTTATATCCTGAACTCACATTCCTCAAATAACTTGCGTTCAAATCTGAAGCTCTCCTCTCCCTACAAAGCCAGTCAGCCCTTATCAAGTTTTGTCTTCAACCACAGTGTGAGTATTTCTGACTGAACACAATTATTCAGTGCTTTTTGGTTTAAAAAATAAGTGGTATTTTTAACTGCATTTGAAAAACTGCTCTCAGAAAGGGAAAAACCTCAGAACGGCTACCAAGCCCACCTAGCAATGCCCGTGGCACAGTCCATCAAAAGCAAATAAAATGAATTATTTCAGTCTGCCTGGAAACCGAACAGATGGGCAGCTTTCCAATTCTAAGCAGAGCTGACTTAAAGAGTCGAGGACATGTGATTAGACTCTTATATTCTTTCACACCACAACAAGCTGCAAATAACCAGCTTTTGTTTGCTGGCTGGTCTTGGGGCAGAAGCAACAGACGCCATTTGTATGTTGACGACTCAAAGGGGGTTGAAAAATAATCTCCCCCTATTATTTATCAGTAAATGTATAATAAGGGGACACATTTAATTCAGAAAAATCCAATACAGTGCCACATCCTCCTTCAAAATCATGTTTGCTTGGTGAATCAGTTGAGTTATTCCTTCAGTCCATCAATGAAGACTCTGTAACCCTTCCAATTTTTCTTGAACAAGTCCTGTTTGTTTATTTATTTATTAGATTTTTATCCCACCCTTCTAGACGTATGTCTACTCAGGGCGGCTCACAATAAAATTATTCATAAAAACAATTAAAACAACGATTTACATTGACAACATTAGTATTAATCAAGATGGAAAATATGAAACAAAAGGTTAAGTAGAAAGTAAAAGTCAAGTATTGACAAGTTATACTCCAGGAAGCATCAGAGCTTGCAAAAGTAACTTTCAAGCACTGGGAAGGATGATCAATGGTAAGGAATGACGGGAAATGCAGATCAGCAGCATCTGATACTCCATTTCCCCCATCCCTAAAAAAGACTGGGGGCGGAATCAGTGTCTTTTTGCCTGAATTATTCTGCAAAAGTGCATATCCATGCATGCTACTTAATTAAATTCTTTTAAAATTAAGTATGTGTTCACATCCCACCTAGCTAGACAGACCACAGATGGCCCAGGAGTTAACAAGTTTTAAATTTTAAAACTTTCCTTCCATCAAGCAAAGCTACACTCAATTAACTTACCAAGTCAGCTCCATAAAGCTTGCAATCTTGCCAATCACCTGATGGGTTTGACCCCTGTGTGATTGCTTTTCTATACCAATATTTCTCTGCACTAGAAACAGCTTTATGTGAAACATTTCCCGTCTTCCTGATGGCACAGGACAGGTTTGGAATCTAAGAATACTTCAAGAAGGTGATTCTTAAAAAATCCCAACTAATCAGCTATAATGGACTGGAGAACCCCATAAGACAGAAGCAGAAAGCCATCCGTAAGTCCGTGTGGCACTAGACAGCCATCGGTCCGGGAGGGTAGGAGGTCCAGGATGACATGAGGTCTCCTGCTTTGAGCAGGGGGTTGGACTAGAAGACCTCGCAGGTCCCTTCCAACCCGACGACGATTCTCTGATTTGAAATCTCAAGTGGCCAGTTTGCTTATCAGAAGTAACACACTGTTCATCCAGTCAGGAACAACACTTGACGCCAGCTGACTTACTGACCTCTCCCTCACATGGACGGTCTTGCTTTCCCTTGGCAGGGCCTTTTTTCAATGATCTCCTGGGCCTTTTGTTTACCTTCGACATGGGATGCTGCTTCATATTTCTTGAAAAAAAGATCAAATAAGATGGTTAAGCAGAGTTGGTCTCAAAGAACGCAAGAATACGAACAGACCATCAAACCCTCCACCACCTGCACCCTGATGACACTGGTTTCCTCGCCATCAAATCTATACGTTCTGCCCTCTTTTCACACTCATAAACAACATCTGGTTTCCCACCTGCCCCACGGTTCAGGTAGTCTTCCTTCTCTCTTTCAGGCCAACTCGCCCACATCCCTCAGTCCGAGAGCATTTCTGTTACCTTTCAGATACCGATTAAGAACTGAAAGCTATGTTCACTCAGGTATGACACGGGCGAAGTCCTGCCATGCCCCAGTGTGTTCGCTTGGAGAAACAGCTTGCCTTAGCATAATTATTTTCCAAGCTGTAGCCGGGGGGAGAGATCCTCAGAATCCTGGCAACTAACTCCCACCCCACTCCTAATTGGGGAGCATTGTCGAGGGCTTTTCCCAAGAGAGATGGCTTACCTACATCTCCCCCCCCCCGAGTCGCACGGTTGTAACCAGGGAGCGGTGAGGTGGTGGGTTAATTGTTGGATTAAACCTGCTTTCCCTGACCTGGCGCTTTCTCAGAAGAGCCGCACTACGAATCTCATCATCCCCCAAATCACATGACTGGTGGTGGTGGAAGATGGGGCTTCAAGTTCAAGGCAACCGACACACAGAGGTGCCTCTGCCAGCTGCTACTCCTCATCCTATAGCGAACCTTCAAACTCAAATGGGATGGAAAGCACCCTTTGTAGTGTCGGTCCACTGAACCGTCCCCTCCACCTCCGCTGTTCCTTCAATTGCACACATTCTGGGGCAGGCACAGTGCACAGTTTGGGCCCCACCACCTGAGAGCCTCACCTGAGACTAGGCTCTCCCCTTGGCATTTGCACTAGCAAGGGCTCCTCAACGTCCTCCATGGTCAGCACCACCGGCTCCTTCCAACCAGCTGTCTTGCGAACTTACATCTGCAAGAAGATACAATCGCTGTAGAGCGAAAACGTCGTATAGCAAAACTAAAAAACCCATTGAAACGCATTAAAACCCGGTTAATGCATTCCAATGGGCTAAAAACTCACCGTCCAGCGAAGATCCTAGATACAGTGGCCATTTTCTGTGCCTGTATAGCAAGGAATCCATCCCTAAGCTCAGCAGGGAGCCATTTTGAGCACCCGGTGGCCATTTTGAAAACCCGACGTTCAGCTGTTTTGATCGTCGTAATGCGAAGAATGAGTTCCTGAAGCAGGGAACCGATCTTTGCAAAGTGAAAAAAACCCCATTTAGACCATAGTTTTGTGGTCGCAATTGTGATTGCAAAAACTTCGTCGTGAAGCGGATTCATCGTAATGCGGGGTAATTGTTCAGAGGGGCACAACTGTATTTGTCACTCTCTCTTCCACCTATTTCTTCCTTCTAATAAAAATGCTGCCGTATGATCCACATGATCTGGCTAAATGCAAATAGCTTTCCCTTTCATGTATTGAGAAACATGAAAGTCGCTCAACTTCAGAAACCTGATCCTTTCTCTTCCCATTCATCAGAGGTTACTGGCTGGACCACAAACTCCAGTTGAAAGAGGGTGGAAAGCACTGAGATGCGGACCGCCAGCAACAACAGAAACTTTAAATAAGACCGGACAGTTTTGTGGCTGCGGGTTTAGAAGCCAATGCCATGTAAATCGACACCAATGGATTTCCAGTGTGACGCAGTGGATAGAGTGATAAGACTGGGACTCTGGAGAACAGGGTTCAAATCTCCACTTGGCCATGAAAGGTCACTGGAGGGGTGGAACTGGCCAAGCCACTTCTTGAATATCTCACTTAACTTGGAAGCTCTCTACTGAGGTCGCTATACGCCGGTTCTGACTTGACAGCCTAGAACACACACAAACACACAAAGGGATTTATATGCATCCATCGCTCTGGTACAGATCATAATTGCTCCTTGAAAAAGTTATATTTTCCGAGTAAAGCTCCTGCCCTCTCTGAGCCAGTACAGCCTCTGAGGGATTCTAGAAGCCGTAGTCTGAAAAAAAGTGCATTTCCCTGTGCTCTGGCTATGACACATAGTATTATTGGTCTCTTTTTCTAGTTCCCTGCTTCAGGCAGATCATCTGTGATCCTGTGTTATCTTATGATATACAACTTGCTGATGGAGCAGAAAGTTGCAGGGTTGGTCTGTCCACTGGGACGTCACGGAGGCCCATCCTGCAAGTGGGCAGCTTGGCTGAATTAAATCATGGAGTCATGAAGTTGGAAGGAGCCTATAAAGTCATCGGGTCCAACCCCCTGCTCAAGGCAGGAATAAAAATCAAAGGGTATCTGCCAAGTGGTTGTCTATGTTTCTCTTGAAGGCCTCCAGCGTTGGAGTGCTCACCACCTCCTGAAGTTATGGGTTCCACTGTCGTACAGTACTACTCTAACAGTTAGGAAGTTTTTTTCCCGATACAGTATTCAGTCTAAATCTGGCTTCCTGTCACTGGAGCCCATTGTTGCGTGTCCTGCATTTTGGGATTATCAAGAACAGATCTTGCCCCTCCTCTGTATGACAGCTTTGCAAGTTTTTCAAAAAGTCTTATCCTATTTCCCCTTAGTCTTTTCTCAAGGCAAAACATGTTGTTCTTTCAGCCTTTCCTCCTAAGGCTTGGTTTCCAGGCCCCTGATCATCCTTGTCACCTTCCTCTGAACTTGTTCCAATTTGTCAGCATCCTTCTTGAAGTGCGGTGTCCAGAACTGGACACAATCCTCAAGGTGAGGCCTACCCAGTGCTGAATGAAGGGGAATTAGCACCTTGCAGGATTTGGTGACTATACATCTGTTAATGGAACCCAAAATAGCATTTCTATTTTAGGTTCTATTAACAGAAGGCAGGACTGGATGAATCCCAAGCCGGAATTGAGATTGCTGGAAGAAATATCAAGAACCTCAGATATGCAGATGATACCACTCTGATGCCAGAAAGTGAGGAGGAATGAAATATCCTCTTAATGAGGATGAAAGAGGAGAGCACAAAAAATGATCTGAAACTCAACATCAAAAAAACTAAGATCATGGCCACTGGTCCCGTCACCTCCTGGGAAACTGAAGGGGAAGATATGGAGGCAGTGACAGATTTTACTTTCTTGGGCTCCATGATCACTGCAGATGGAGATAGCAGCCACGAAATTAAAAGATGGCTGCTTCTTGGGAGGAAAGTGATGACAAACCTCGACAGCATCTTAAAAAGCAGAGACATCACCTTGCCAACAAAGGTCTGCATAGTCAAAGCTATGGTTGGAGAGGGTCGTCGAAGCGACCAACATGAATTTGACCAAACTCCGGGAGGCAGTGAAAGACAGGGGGGCCTGGTGTGCTATGTGGGGTCACGTCACGAAGAGTCGGGCACGACTTAACAAAGCATCAGTTCTTCGGCGGTCAGCCTTCTTTATGGCCCAGCTCTCACTTCCATACATCACGACAGGAAAAACCATAGCTTTGTCTTACGTGGACCTGCTATTGTTAATTTCGCTATCAGGGTCCACTGTTTCCGCATTTGAATTCCCCCAACTTTGATAACATTCCTGTACACATTTATTCATTCAATGAATCTTGGGGAAATTTATCTGGGAACTGAGGAAACATTGATGCAGCATCTCCCGTCTACAAAAGCCAGAAGGCACGATAATATTTGTGACTTACAAGTTTCTGTCGCGACAGAATAACACAGTTACAGTACTTTTTCTGGAAGTTGTTATAAAAAACAACAACAAAGCAACACCTAAGAACAATGCAACAACTATGTCATGCATGAATTCTTAAAGAACCAGAGGTTCTCACATCTGTCGTGTCTGTTCATAATCAAATCAAACTTGAAGGTTTGCAGTTCATCCGTGCTTACTAAAGGCCATCAATAATTTATTAAATACAGTAATATTTGCCAACTTTGCTTCTTTTAAATATTGTAAGCTGCCTCAAAGGCTCCAGGGAAAAGTGGCATATAAATATTTTAAATAATAATAAAATAAGCAGGCAACGGAAGATTGCATGAGCCAGCTTTTACTCATCCCATCTCATGGGTCAAGAAATAGAATCTGAACTTAATGGCTCTTTGGCATTTCCCTTAACTAAATACAGCCTAGAAGTACACAACTGTATTCTTGTAGTTTTCTTGTGTGTGTTTTTTTAAGTTTTGTCTTGGTTTTGTCTGACAACTGTAGTATATTACAAAACTAGGGTCCTTTCCAGCTCTGCACTTCCAAGAGGATGATGATTATTCAAAAATACAAGAAATAGTCTTTGACTAGTATTATAGATAGAAGTTTTAAGCAAAAATCTAAATATTAGTGTAATAGGTATGCTGTTCTTAATACTGCCATTTTTGCCAGCTGTAATTGTGTCATTTCAGAGATCTTCAGCTAGTTATAACATTTTATAAAACTCTGCGGCATTGTTCCCAACGCTCCAATGATTATGATAACAATGATGATTAAACATGAGGGAATACACACAAAAGCAGATTGTAAAGTGCAATGATAACAAATCAGCATACATGTACATATTGGTAAAACTCCAGAAGAAAATAACTTTATCAAAACATAAAACCAGAGGGGTCAAGCCACACACACACACACATCTCTTATTTTTTTGCTATTCCCAAAATTCTCTCCTCCCAAATCAAGTTCACATTAGCATGGCTACAACGTTTGCAAGATTTCTAGAAGCCTCCAAAGGACGAACATGGCGCATCCTTCCCTCCCAATTACTGTATTTCAATAAGCATTGCATGGAGCTGTAGCAAGATCAAGAACTGGAAAGAAAATATATAGAGCAAAGATATATTTCTCCGAAAAGAGCTATCAAGAATTGAACACGCTCCCACTTACTTGGGCCCAGATTTGAGCTGGGTGTAGATAAAGGCTACAAAGAACCAAAAAAAACCCTTTCCAAATTGACTCTCCTCTTTCTCCTTCCAAGACATTTAAAGAGCACGTCAACAAGAAACACACACAAAAGCAACAAAAAAAACAGACGGCCTTTGTGGACTAACTAGTCTACAAATGTCTGCTTAAAGACTAATTTGTTCTGTTTTAACATAAGCTTTCGTGGCCCGTGTCCACTTTGTCACATCCCAAAGTCAGAGAATATAGAGGATACGGCCGTAGTTTTAGAAAAGACAGCCGTGTCCGTTTGGGCTAACATCACCAGGAAAAAAAAAACATTTTTTAAAAAAAATAAAGACAACCCAAACATCCCAAAAAATAAAGACAACCCAAACCCAGGCAATCTGCTCTATTTTTATGTGAGCTTTCATGCACATGGCCACTTCCTCAGACATAGGAGCAGGATGACATGGCAAAAAAAAAAAGTTTTTTGCAATGACGTCCCTCTCTTATGTCTGAAGAAGTGGACTTGTCCATGAAAGCTCACATGAAAACATGGTCGCCTTTAATTCTATTTTATGTTTCTTGACAAAACGCTTCTTGCCCCCCCCCCCTTTCATAGACTAAGAGGGCTACAACTTTGAAAAAGGCGACATGGTTACCTGTGACGGTGATGGGTAGTGACGGGGGGGAGCTTTTGGGAAGACACCTTAAGCCCCAAACATCCGTGCAGAAGAAAACAGGGGAACATGAAAACCAAGAAGAGTTTAAGGAAATGGGCTCACGAATACAGCCCCCCACAAACAGATAACAAACTTGTCACGTCTTTACTGATGCTCTTGCATTCAGTTTGCACCTCAAAATGCAAGATGGATCATTTTGGCCACAATCCTTGACTCATTTACTTACAGAAGAAGCAGACTCATCCAACAAAGAAACACTTAATCCTGACTAAAGATGCCCAGGGTTACAAACGCTGACCTCCAACGGCCCCCAACCCCTTACTTGCTCTTTTCCCTCTGGCCATTCTCTCCGCTCCTGCTCCTCCAAAACCTGGCTTACCTCCTCCCTCTTGACTCCTTTTCCAAATGCATTTCACCTGTTTTTAGATCCCATGGGTGCTTTTCCTCAAAAACCGACAACCTGCACACTTGCCCGAACTGAGAGGCCAGGACAGCTTAGTTTTACTCAGGAGCAATGGCTGCTGGTGCAAATGGAACTTACTCCCACAGAGACCCTTAGACCAGGACATGCAGAGAGACACTTTTTTTGGGGAAAGATACAGCCAAAGCCTCTTTACCTTTTACACAGAAGTAAATCCCACTGAGTTCCATAGGATCCCTTCCCATCTTTCCTAGGGAGCCTGGCTGGGTTTTTGTGTGGATTGCCTTCGGTTATTGCATTTTGCAATGCTACGGAAAAGGTAAAACGAAACCAGTAAAGTAGCACCATTACTGATTTTTTTTTTTGCCTTCTTTCCCCTCCTGAATTTAATTCCCACCTCACCTGCGGCTCTGCCATAATACATCTGCCAGCCTTCAAAGGTGCCTCCACACAAGTCTTCCCTGATCTCCGCTTCCTTTTGTGTTGTGCTCATCATGAGTGTTTTATTGTGATCCAGCTGAATTTTTTAAATGTTGGAAATATTATAAACTGCCGTGCTTAATGCCTAGAGACACCTATTTTATGATGTACTGTATTTAACAAATGCAATGAAGCAAATTCTTTGCAAGCTTATTGAGGATACTTTCGTGGAACACACCACCCAGAATCCCCCAGCCAGCGTGGTGATGGCAGCTGGTGGATTATAGGAACTGTAGTACACAAGTAAGATTTGCACGTTTTTTTTTTCTGTAGCCATGGAAGAGCGGCCCTCATCTTCAATGGGAACCCAGACTTTGGAACTCCCCATCCGGGAAAACTCTAGCAGGCATCTTTAACTGTGCAATCTTGCACACCTAAGAAGAAATAAAAAGTTTCCTGATTCTTTCATAAGTTTCCACCGTTTTGAATTTTGCAAGCCATTCTGGCCAGACACTATCCTAAGCCCTGTAATATACATATTAAATATATAATCTGGCTTTCCACACCCCACCCCCATTGATGTTTATCTGTGCCTTTAAATGCCCTGCGACCCACAGGCAGATATTCAACAGGTGCTCTACTCTCCACCACCACCCCCCACAGGAAAACAAGGTTTCTCCAGGTCATCCTTCCATCTCTGCCCCGATCCCTTTGTCTGTTCGCCATACAGCAGGTGCAGCCCAGTTCAGGGAGGCTTACTCGCAAGTAAGCAAGCACCAGAGCACGTGGGAATAGCTGGAACTCTTGCCTGGCAAGGTGGTGGTGGTGGGGGGGGTTGATGGAGGAAGAGGGAAAAAAAAGAGACTCTGGCTCAAAAGGGGGGGCTTTTGGCTCTCTCTTGTCTCCCTTCCCCTTTAAAAACAAAGACCCTTTAAATTAAATATTAA